GACCTTAGACACCCTCTCTGACTTCACTTATTTTGAAGTTAGATTTCTGCCTAATCTGTCCTGCATCGTATCCCAGCTGGGCGGTTGTTTGTGGGGGGGAGATGCTTGGTGCTGCTTTGCAGCATGTGAGACTTTTAGGTCTTGAACACGAACCCAAATACTTTGCCACTGTTTTCTGGCCCACATACTAAGAGTTAGGAGTTGCTGGTGAGAATGGCTCCATTTCCATTGAAAAGAGTCATGGTTTTAAAAGAAAGTGCAATAGAGAAGTGCCCAAGGGCTGCCCAGGGTGCCTCCATGCCTGGAGGTGTCCATCCCTCTGTGCACCCGCCAGCAGAGCCTGCAGACCCATCTCTGGCAGCAGGTCGGGTGTTCAGTAGTCTGTGAGAAATCCCTGAGGCGCAAGTGCCGACCAGTTGCACAGGGAGATGTGTGAGGAGGTAGGAGCAGAGTGTGCACGGGGTGCTGCACCCCAATTTAGCCCATGGTAAACCTTCAGCATTTGGAGTTATTGAGGAGGATTTTTGCAAAGGCTCGAGTGTCAGGGGACTGTTCCTAATGTCAACACTCAGTGCTTTTGCTGCAGCCAGGGGATTCAGCAGGGTAGCCATCAGAGCTGGGCTGTGGGGTGAGCCGTGGCCAGGGGGGTCTTTGTGCTCCTCACCAGCTGACCCCAGGGCTCAGGGCAGCCTTTGGGGCAGGAAAGGGGAGAGGAAGGGTTGGTGCAGTGGGGAAGCCGCAGAGCTGAGCGGCAGGAGCAGAAAAACACAGGACACAGCCCAAAGCTGCTCTCGGGGCAGTCATTTGGGTCACACTACCTGTGCCTCTGCTTTGTGGGTGACGGCTGGAAGCTGGGTAGAGGAACAAAGGGGTTGCTGCCTGCTCCACTGGCAGGTAAAAATACTTTATTATTTCAATTCTTCCAGACAATACATGCAGGTTCTGGTCTGGGGCAGGTGATGCAGGAAGATCAGCTGCGTCGTGCAGCTTTGACTTGTTCCAGAGCAGGATAAATCCAGTGAAAAATCTTCCCCCAGGTCCTCACTACCCCGGAGGTCTGCTCTAGCCACCTGGGGGGTCGCATGTCTGTTGGGGTGCAGGGAGGGTGCTGCAGCTGCCCCGTTGCAAGCTGTTGTCAGGGATGGAAGGGGAAGGGCCTTATGTCTTGGCTGCCCAGAGCTGGACCCTCACGGTCCCTGGGCCACCAGACAGCAGCACTGAAATCCTGCTGAGATCTGACACTGCTTTCACTTGTTTCCAGCCTGGAGAAGGCCTTGCATGCCCCAAAGGGAGCCTGCCTTCCCCCTCCCACGGCAAGCCCCGTGTTCTCCAGGCTGTCACCCCAGCCCTGCAAGTGTGGGCACGTTGCCCGTGTTGGGAGGAGGGCTCTCACCAGGCACAGGGGTGGTTTCGGGTGGGCACCCCCTCGGAACGGGCGATGGCTTTGGCTATCTCAGACCCTTCCCCATCTGTGTCCCCTCGGTGCCAGCCCCCGGTTCCCCTTGCTAAAACTGTCCAGTGCCCGCATCCCAGGGATGTGGGCTCTCTGGAAAGGGGCTGGGGTCCAGCCCTGCCTCACTGCCCCTCCGGCACCCCACTGTGCCCAAACCGGGGGGAGGGCAGGGGCACCCCAAGCCGTGCCGCATGGGCAGGTAAAGGATCGGAGGGTGCAGCGTGAGCGCCGCAGCGTTCCCCTGGCACGACACCCCCGGGCCTGCCCAGCAGCCCACTCCACGCACCCCTGCGCCGGGACCCCGGGGGGGCGTGGGGGGGGGAAGCTCACCCCCTTTGCAGTGAGGGGGCACCCCTCTGCTCTGGGGGGGCAGTCCGGGTACCAAACCCCTCCCCGCAATCCCAGGGACCGCCCCGGGATCCCCCGCCCCGGCGGGGACCCGCCTCCTTCTACGTCACGAGGAGGCCCCTCCCCTCCCCCCGCATGATTGGGTAGCGTGCTCTTAGGCCACGCCTCCGACGGGCGGGTGGGCCCCGGGCTGGCCCCGCCCCTCCCTTCCCTCCGTGATCTCCGATTGGCTGCCGAGCTGCCGCTCTAGCTTGGCCCGGCCGGGATGGCCGGAGGCCCCGCCGCCGGTCCCCCGCACCCCCCCTGCACGCCCCCTTGCACCCACAACTGCACACCCCTGCACCCCCCCACTATACCCCACTGCACCCACACTGCACCCCCCTGCGCAACCCTGCACCCCCCTGCACCCCACACTGCACCCACACTGCACCCCCCTGCGCAACCCTGCACCCCCCTGCGCAACCCTGCACCCCCCACTGTACCCCACACTGCACCCACACTGCACCCCCCTGCGCAACCCTGCACCCCACACTGCACCCACACTGCACCCCCCTGCGCAACCCTGCACCCCCCCTGCACCCCACACTGCACCCACACTGCACCCCCCTGCGCAACCCTGCACCCCCCCTGCACCCCACACGGCACCTACACTGCACCCCCCTGCGCAACCCTGCACCCCCCCTGCACCCCACACTGCACCCACACTGCACCCCCCTGCGCAACCCTGCACCCCCCCTGCACCCCACACTGCACCCACACTGCACCCCCCTGCGCAACCCTGCACCCCCCTGCACCCCACACTGCACCCACACTGCACCCCCCTGCGCAACCCTGCACCCCCCCTGCACCCCACACTGCACCCACACTGCACCCCCCTGCGCAACCCTGCACACCCCCTGCACCCCACACTGCACCCACACGGCACACCCCTGCACCCCCCACTATACCCCCCTGCACCCCCCACTACACCCCCCACTGCACCCACACTGCACCCCCCTGCACAACCCTGCACCCCACACTGCACCCCTCTTGCGCCCCCACCGCCGTGCCGCTGCGCCCCGCCGCGCTCCCCTGTGCCTCAACTTCAGCCCCACGCACCCCCTTGCACGCTCACCCTAACCCCCCCCGCCCCTCCCACCCCGTTTCCCAGTACGGCACGCCGCTGTCTCCCACTACTCATCAGGTGCCGCCCCATGCACCCCCCGATCTGCCACCCCCTGACCACCCCACTGCAGGCCCTGATGCCGCCCCCACCCCCCCACCTTTCCAGCCAGCCCCCTCCCAGGGCACCCCTTGCTGCGCTTCACCTTCTGCCAAGGACCTGCCCGTTCTCTGTGGCGGGGGCAACACCCTGCCTCACTGCCCCTGCACCCCCCAGGGCTCGGGGAATGGGTGCCACGGTGTCCCAGGTGTCCATCGTGGTGTCCCGTGCTCCCGTGGGAGCATGTCAGGATGGCGGGGAGCCAGGCAGGGCAGGGGGGAGCTCAGTGGGGTGATGGGGAGCACGGCGGGGTGGTGGGGAGCATGGGCAAACGCAGCCCAAAGGTGCCCCCCTCCTCCCCCCCCCCCCCCCCCCATTGCAACCTCACCGGTTGCAAGAGGCAGGGCTCAGGAAGGGAGACCTCCCCTCCCGCCCACCTTTGCCCACCCAGATCAGCCCCCCCGAGGGGGAAAGCCATCACAGAGCCATGGCAGGCATCGTCCCCACCACCGTGAGGCTCGGGGCCAGAGCTGCTGGCCAGCAGCCAGCCGCTTTCTGCTCGCCGCTCGGGGTCACCGAGGAGGGTTTGTGTGTGACCGTGGGAGCACCATCCCCACCGGGGCTGGCCCTGCACCCGGGCACCCCCCCCCACACCCCCGCCACGGGCCCCCGCTGCCTGCCTGCTGCACCACGGGGCCAGCGTGCCCACGCAGCGTGGCCCCTCTCTCTGACCCAGGGTGCCCAGATGGTGTGGGACGAGGGACGGTTTCGAGGGACGGTTTCGTGAGAGGTAACGGGCTTTCCCAGCGCCGCTCACCCACGCGTCTCCCCCGCCAGATGCCAGCTGGGCTGCAACGTTGCTGCTCGCCGGTGCTGGTGGCTCCCATTGGCCATGCCCCTAGCCCCTCTCCATGGCTTGGCCACACCTGGGGTGCTCCAGCCGGCTGGTGCGTGCGTCTGGAGGATGCGGGGTGCCCTGGCAGATGCTGTTTCTGGTGGGGCAGGCACCCGAGGCAGCACTGGGAGTGCAGTGGGAAGGGTGGGAGTTCGGAGGCAGCTTGCTGGGGAGCTACAGGGACGCGCACGGCACCCTCCCCCTTGAAGGTCACGCACAGCATCCGAGCAAGAGCCGGCCCGTCACATCCTCAAGATGGATGACTACTGTTTCAGCACAGGCTGCTTGCCCACCTTCCTGGCGTGGACTGGCCGCTGCGTGGGCTCCCTCTTCTCCTGGGAGAAACGGCAGGTCACCTGCCAGCTCTCCAGCAAGTGAAACGTGGCCTGGTGTGACTACTGTCCGTCTACCCACCCTACACCAGTGGCACTGGCTCCATCCTCCCCCTGGACGTGGCCAAGAGATTCTGGAGGCAACCGACATGTCCACCCCATCCCTGTGGAGGATGTGAGCGTCCTGGTGGAGGTGGTGGGGGTCTGGGCAAGAGCCAGTGGCCGCTTTGCCAAGCACAATGTGCCATGACACGTCTGCTACCTGGTGTTGATCCATGTCCTGAGCCTCGGGAGCAGGAGTGGGGCTCACCACAACATGCTTCAAGCCCACAGCACCAGCTGGGACAGACCCAGCTTGCCAGCTGGAAGTGACCTGCCAAGGACCTGGTGACCAAGGGACCAGGGCTGCAGCATGGGCTGCCTCCCTAGCCCCAGTGCTGCCCAGCGTCGTGCACCACAGACCCTTCTCGTGCAGAAGGATGCAGCCTGTGCCCCATCTGGGCTCCCTGCCCTCCCCATTCCCAGCAGCAGCTCTGCTCTCTGCTCCCCTGCATAGCCCACCAGCACCTTCTCCAGGCTGGGGTCCTGCCCGCCCCAGGAGCAGCTAGAAGCTGTTGGGGAGCAGGCAGGGGCAGAGAAACACATGTGCCCTGTGGTGTGTGGACTGGGATTTTCTCAGAGGTTGTAAATAGCCAAGTTCCCCTTCTGCTCATTTCGAAAGTGAGAAAGGGAACATCCCCCAGAGAGGGGGAAAGAACTGGTCAATTGTCATTGCTGGTACAAAAGCTATTTTTAATTTTATTAAAACGTCTCTCTTCTATAAATTTCCAAAATATCTGGGGCCTCTGCTATAAAGATTTGTGCCACAGCTGCATAGCAAAGCCATCACCCCTGGGGCTGGGGATGGTGGCACTCACGGGGGGATGCAGTCAGTGGCAGGGGACACCTGAGGCTCCTCTTTGTGATCTGGGGAGGTGTGAGGAGTGCTGGGGGAGCAGGGCACCCCAGGGCCACCCTCAAAAAGTGGCATGTGGGGGGTGTAGTGGTCGAGGAGGCCAGGGTGGGTCTGTGGCCGAAGCAGGAGCTGATGCAGGGTCTCGCCCACCTGCACCAGGCTGTGGGAGAGGAGATGGAGGTGGGAGATGGTGTCGCTGGCCAGGCTCTCCAGCAGTGCCTGCTGCTGCCGCGATGTCTGCAGGATCTGCACCAGTAGCTGCTGGACGCTCTGGAGCAAACCTGCCACGCTGGAGCCTGCAGTGAGAGGGGGGCGTGGGGTGTCAGTGGCAGCCAACCCTCACCACGTTTCTGAGGGCCTCCCGTGAGGCTGCTGGGGTGCTGCAGGGAGGACCCACCGTGCAGGCTCGTATCCGACACCTCTTCACCCGCTGTTGGCTGCTCGCTCATGGCAGCCGTCCCAGGGGAGCCCAGGGCTGCGGTGGCCACTGACACCACTTGGTTTCCTCTTCCTGTCCCTGGGGATGACTCACCAGGAAAACCTGCCATGATGGGTTTGGCATGGAGGAAGCAACGGGAGTGCTGGAACCACCCAAGCCCCATGTTCAACCTGACCCCACAGCAGAGCCCTGGGAGGGTATTGCCTGCGGGGGTCCCTGCCCTCTGTCCCCATGGGCTGGGGTGGACAGGACAGAGCTGTCTCCTGGAGCAGGAGGACTTGCTCAACACTACAGACACTTACCAGCCTTTTCCTCAGCTCTTTCCTGCTTCAGGGTAGTGTGACAGCCTGGAAGGAGAGCAGACACAGCCCATAAGCTGCAGCCACCTCCTTCCCTGGGGCGTGCAAGCATGGTGTCCTGGGCACGCTACTCACCCAGGAGGGGAAGGGATGGGAAACCGCGATCGGTATCTGCAATGAGAACCATATTAGACCCTGCTCGCAGGGCCAGAGGGGTTTACTGGGCTGAGTGGGGCAAGGAAAGCCTTACGTGGCATGGCAGGGGCAGCAGGCAGCACTCCAGCAATGTGGTCCCCACCGGCTGCTGGGAGAGAGCAGAGAGGAGAGATGCGTCGTCTGACGGGACCTGCCGGGGAATCACCACCAGCCTGGGGTCTGCCCGGCTTGCCCCGGCCAGCCCCGCAGCCCGACATGCCCTAGCCACAGCTCCACAGCACCCTGCAGGGCCCCAAAGCGTTTCACGAGCTAGATACAAAAGCAGGAGTCACTCACCCACCACTGCAATGCAGCCACCTCTGGGCTGGAAGGCAGCAGCGGCGTAGCAGCACGCAGCAACGCTACACAACAGATTAGGACTGGAAGTGAAGGAGAATCCCACATCCACTTGAAACTGCAGGGGGAATTTAGGGAGACAGAAGGCAATTACCCAGTGTGGGATGCTGGCTGGGGCACCCACGCAAATCAGACCCAGGGACGTATCCTGCATCACCTCCGTGCCAAACCCCCGGGAGTACGCACAGTGAGGGGGGCGCAGGATCCGCCCCTGGGTGGGCTGCAGGGCAGGGGAGCTGCAGGCACCTCTGGCCCTCACACCCAGTCCTAACTCATCCAAAGCTTTATGGTGTTACTGGGGAAGGGGGGAGCCAGGACCTGCCGAAGGAAGGGGAGTCACATGCCCTGCGGTGCTGCACATCCACGAGAGCCCCCCAGGCCAGATTGGGGCCACCGTCCCTTAGGGACCTTGAGCCCCACAGCCTGTCAGGGGGCAGCCAGCAGCCTTGCCATGCCCTCAGGCTGGGTCAGAGCTGGGGACCTGACCCATCCCAGCTATCCGCATCCCCTCACGCTCTGGGGCTGGTTTGGAGCCAAAGCCTCTGGAGAGAGAAGTCCCAACACCCCCGTTGGCGAGCATCCCTGCTGAGGCACTCGTGATGGCCCATTCCCCCCACCCTCTAAGCCCCCTTTTCCCATCATGCTGGTGTGGGCTTGGGCTGGAGCCGTGGCCGTGCAGCCCGGTGCAGCGGGGCGGACTGGTACTTACGGCTCTCTGGCTCGTCCTTCGCACACCGCAGCAGCGGGGACAGCAGCGTGCCCGGGGTGTCCCCACCAACATCGTGCTCTGCAGGAGGAGGGTGAAGGGGTGCAGAAAAGAGCTTCAGTAACTGGGAGACTAGGGGTGCCTGCCACCCCACAGCTGGGGCAAGCCCCACTCCGGCTGCCTGAGCCCACGGGTGGTACCTGGCGGCTCTGGTGAGGATGGAGAGCGGGCGGCAAGGGCTGACCTGCGCTTCCTTGGGGGAGGCTTCACCAGGTCTAGGGAAAGAGACCATCAACAGACCCTGTGTGGCCATGCAGTGCCGGTGCTCTCCCGGCATCCCACATCCCCAGCACCCACCTGGCATCCTCCGCTCACCGAAGACGGGCCGCCCCGCCGCCTTCCAGATGCTCTTCATCGCTCGGTAGTGCGGGGGCAGGCGGGACGAGTGGTGTCCTGCCCTCCGGCGCGTCTCCCGCTCCGAGTGGAAAGCCTGCTTGAGCGCCTTCCACTTGGAGCGGCACTGGGCCACGCTGCGCCCGTAGCCGGCCGCCGCCAACCCCCGGGAGATGTCCCGCCACAGGGCCTCGTTGGGTCGTGACGTGGAGGCCATGAGCAGGGCGGCCTCCCCTGAGCCCCCCACCAGTGCCAGGAGGCTGCTGACCTCCGCCTGCGACCAGGCTCGCCCACGGGGCATGCTGCCGGGGAAGGGGAGGGGGGGCGAGGGTGAGCGTCGGGGGGGAAAAGCTCGGCCCTGGGGCCGGTGGTGAGGCTGGGATGGGCAGGGCTCAGCCCCAGGGCTCTGCCGTGCGCTCCCGAGGGCGCGACCGGGAGTCGGGAGCTGCACCGGGGGCCGCGGGGATGCGCACCGGGAGCTGCACCGGGGGCCGCGGGGATGCGCACCGGGAGCTGCACCGGGGGCCGCGAGGATGCGCACCGGGAGCTGCACCGGGGGCCGCGGGGATGCGCACCGGGAGCTGCACCGGGGGCCGCGAGGATGCGCACCGGGAGCTGCACCGGGGGCCGCGAGGATGCGCACCGGGAGCTGCACCGGGGGCCGCGGGGATGCGCACCGGGAGCTGCACCGGGGGCCGCGGGGATGCGCACCGGGAGCTGCACCGGGGGCCGCGGGGATGCGCACCGGGAGCTGCACCGGGAGCCGCGGGGATGCGCACCGGGAGCTGCACCGGGAGCCGCGGGGATGCGCACCGGGAGCTGCACCGGGGGCCGCGAGGATGCGCACCGGGAGCTGCACCGGGGGCCGCGGGGATGCGCACCGGGAGCTGCACCGGGGGCCGCGGGGATGCGCACCGGGAGCTGCACCGGGGGCCGCGGGGATGCGCACCGGGAGCTGCACCGGGGGCCGCGGGGATGCGCACCGGGAGCTGCACCGGGGGCCGCGGGGATGCGCACCGGGAGCTGCACCGGGGGCCGCGGGGATGCGCACCGGGAGCTGCACCGGGGACCACCGGGAGCCCACACCGGCGGTCGCGCCGGGAGCCGCACCGAGCGTCCCTGCGCCACACCGGGCGCCGCGCCGGGAGCTGCCGGGAGTCGCCGGGAGCCGCACCGAGCATGTGCAGCCCCGGGAGGAGCTGCTGGGAAACGTAGTCCTGACCGGGACATTCCACACACCCGCCACCCCACCCCGACCCCATCACCCGCCAGCCCAGCCGAGGGGGTCACCGTCTGACCGCAGGCACCCCCGCCCCTGCCCGGCTCTAGGGGCCAAGACTCCCGGGTTGGTGGTGGGGGGGGCTGGGGGGACCCTGCCCACACCCCCCCCCCCCGGAGGGTGCGACAGGGCTGGCTCTCACGGCAGCCCTCAGGGCTCGGGAAGGGGAAGGAGCACCCCAGCCCCCCGCTTTCCAGGTCTGAGATGCAGCTGCAGCCCCATGCAAAACGGCAGCAGAAACCACATCTGAGCAAAACACGCCGTGGTCTCGCTGCTTTGAGAGTGCGGAGCTGGGGGGGGGGGGGGGAGGGATGCTGATGGGACCCCGTGTCGCGCTCCCCAAGGGTGCACAGGTTCCCTGGACAGTCCCAAGGGCAGATCTGCTGAGCACCGGGAGGTCAGGGCAGTGAAAGCAGCCTCGGCATGCCTCCCCAGCCCAGCCCTGGACCCACATCTGCGCTAGCTGCCGTCCCCACCGCTCGCTGCCCCGAAGCTGGGGGTGCAGGGTTCCCTCATGCCAGGAAAGTCTGGGTGCCAGCCTGGCCGAGGGTCCTCCTTGTCCCAGTTGCTGGCAGCGCTGTGACCCCCCTAGAGCTGTGGCCCAGGTGGTGCCCCTGGGGACCCCATCAGGAAGTGACACTTTCCATTTTGCGTCACACCCAGCTGCCAAAGGGGGCCGAGAAGGTGGGTTGCCGCTTCCCTTGTGGGGCACAGAGCGAGAGACCGAGGGAAGGATGGACGAGGGGGTCACCTACGCTGATCTGCGCCTGCCCCCCACACCAGGTAATGGCACGCTGCTCCCTGCCACTGGCACCCCAGCTCCCCTGGTGAGTCCCCTGCCCTCCTGCAGCCCCTTGATCTCTGCAGGGCTGCTCCCCCAGCTCCCTCCTTTTGGGTATCCTCTCCCAGACACCTCCTCTCCACCTCCATTTCAGACTGCCTGCTCTCAGGGCAGGGGGCAGGGCGGGCTCAAGGGCAGGGGATTCCCACTGCACCCTAATGCCACAGCACACACCAGCATCCCCAGCTCTGTTTTCCCCACCCCGTGCCAAGTGCTGTCTGCAGGGTGACAACTTCTAGGAGGGTTAAGGTGCTGCAAATGGGCTCTCCCTCACTTTTCCTGGGCTCCTCCACTGCCTCCTGACACCCTGCCCAGGATTCACAAACCTTCCTGGCCGGGGGGTCCCCACTGCTCCCAGCAAGCCCCCGGGGCTCAGGTTAACTCTCTTTCTCAGCTCCTCAGCAGCTGGTGCGTCTGCCCTGGTGCTGGGCAGCCCTCAGCCTGGCTCTCCTCTCCCTGCTGCTCCTCTTGGCACAAATCATCCTTGTCAGCTTGAGCTTTCACTGTGAGTACCTGCTCAGACCTCTCTGGCTGGGATCTTGGGGTCTGGGTTGGTACCATGGGGCCCATGTACTAGCAGATAGAGCTGCAGCTTGCCTACAGAGCTGGGCTCTCCTGCTTGGGGTTGAGGCTGTTTCGGGTTCTGGAGCAAGCAGGAAAATTAGTGAGGCAAGACCTCACCTGCCTGGCTGGGAGAGGAAGGTGGGGTGACAGCGTGGGCTGGGGGATGGCACTGGGGCATTGCGTTCCATCACATGGCAATGAACTGAAGACAGGAGGGAGGCTGGTGATGCTGAAACCGAAAGGCAGAAGCACTTTCCCCGAAAGCCCCTTGTGTGATGGGCTCCCAAGCACAGCAAAATCTGCAGGGACCTTGACGGGCTTGGCTGGCAGGTCACCTGAAGTGGAGGAGGCCCTCAGCCGCAGCCACGGGGTTGTCACTTGGGAGGGGGCACTGGGTGTTGCTGGGAACAGGAGCCCAGGATTGGCAGAGACACTCCTGTGCTTTTTTTTTTCTGTAGATTTAATGCAACAGGAGAGCTGCATCCACGGTCCCTGGAGCATGGAGGAGAGCTCCAGCTATGGTCAGCCGTCACTGCGAGGTAGGAGAGCCTGGCAGGCTCCTGGGTGAGGTATGGAGAGGGCCTGGCTCCTCCTCTAAAGAGGCAGGATCTGTCCTACTCCAGAATATGTGTCCCCCCTGCCAAGTCTTCCTTCACCCTTGCTGCCTGTCCTCTTGGCTCATGTCATGGAGAGCTGCCCCAGCACTGGCAAACAGGCTGCACTGCTGGGACCCTTTCAGAAGAGATGACCCCAGTGCAGCTCAGCGTCTCCTGGGCACACCACCGTGCCATGATCATCCGTGTGCCGGACAGCATCGAGTGCTCTCTTTCAACCAGTCTCTGGTGAAGCTGAAATCTTGACTGTGTTCCCAACACTTCGCGAATTACGTTTGTATCACACCCCCAAACCTGGAGCTCCCCTCCCTGACACACCTGCCTGATGCCAGCACCTTTGTGTAACCAGCCCATCTCCCCTGGGGCTCCCGCTGGGGAGCTGGGCTCCAGAGTAAGGGCAAGAGGAGGGTCCTCTCCATGGGGCAGCCTTAAGAGTACACTGGGTTGGTTGGTAGCCTGGCTGCTCCTTGTCACACTTCTGTCCTTTCGGCTGGGGGCTGGCGGCAACCCCTGCCAGCTGCCCTGTCCTGGCTGCTCCCACAGGCTGAGTTTCTGGTTGTGCAGGGCGATGCCAGTTCTGCCCGGCTGGCTGGTTCTGGGACGCGGGGCGGTGCTACTACTTCTCCTCTGACAAAAAGAGCTGGGAGAAGAGCAGAGAGGACTGCTGCTCCAGAGGGGCACAGCTGGTCACCGTCCGAGCCAACACCACCCTGGTGAGTGCACCCAGCCTGGTCTGTCCAACTCCCCACGGGCAGTGGGCTGCGTTGGTGACTACCTCAAGGTCCCTCAGCAGTCACTCAGCCATCACCAGCATCGCCTCAGCTCCCTGGCTCTGGCCCACGTTCCCAAAGCCTAGCCAAGCCTCCAGGCAGGGAGCCGGTGATGCTGTGCCCATATTGTGCAGCCCCCATCACTAATCGTGTGACTGGGGCCGGGTGTCCCCCCCAAGGGAGCTCACATGGGTCCTCTCCTGCACCAGGCTTTCCTGCTGCGCACAGCCAACATGGGAGTCTTCCACGTGGGGCTGAAGCGGGATGGCTCCAGGTCTGACTGGAAGTGGCTGGATGGCACAGCGCTGAAAGGGTGAGGCTGTCAGCTTGTCCCCAGCCACGGCTGATGAGGGTCCAGTGTCAGGGCTCGGGGAGGTGAGGAGGGGGACAGGCAGCCCACTGGCATGCAGGGATGCGCTCCACGTTTTGGCCACTTCTCACCTTCCCAGGGCTGCACTGGGGCATTTTAGGGAAGAGAAGATTGCAGGGGCCTGACCCTGGTGCCCACACTGTGCCTGAGTGAGGGGCTGGGGTGGGGTGTCCCCCGAAAAAACAGGTTCCTAGGCTTTGTTTGGTGCAGCTGGTGCTGAGCCCTGCCGGGAGGGACCTGGGGTTGCTGCGTGGGGGATCAAAGCATGTGTCCTTAATTGGGAGGAGTGTGTCAGGGATTGGTGCTCCGTGGGGAAGGCGAGCTTCGCCCTCAGAGCATCTCTGTGCAGCCTCTGGTGCCCAGCTGGAGGAGCTGTCGATGGGATGACCCCAGCCCGTCCTGCCCGTCCCATCTCAGTCTGCTCTCTCCCTGCAGGCTCTTCCCAATCCAGCGCTCCACCAGCTCCTTCCTGACCTGCGGAAGGGTGTCGGGCTCGGGGCTGTCAGGCGGTCTGTGCGGGGAAGCCCTCGGCTGGGTCTGCGAGCAGAGCGCAGCCACTCTGCAGTGGCTCCGGTCCTCGCCCCCTGCCTTCCTCTGGGGAAACACCACCTACACCTGTGTGGTGCCCTGATGACTGTGGGGACCTCCAGCCTATCCCACCACCTTGATCCATGCTCAACCCCAGCACATGGGCATCCCCGGGCACCTCCTCACTCAGACCTCTTTACCCCCCTGGATACACTTTGACAATACCCCCCTGGATGCACTTTGACAATAAACTCTGGCGCTTGGATGCTGTGGCTGGTTTTGAGGGATGAGGGTGGTGGGATGGAGGTGCATCCTCCAGCTCACTGACTCGGTCGCATCGCTGCCCGGTGGGAAATGGCAACTGCCGTGGCACTGAAGGACGTGGCTGGGAGCCACTGTCATGTCCTCATGGCCTCGTGGCGGTGTGGAGCAGATCCTGTGCAGGCTGGAGCAGGTCGCCCTAAAGCTCTGGGCTTTCTGAGCGAGGTGGCTGCCTAAGGTTTATGCTTCTTGGGAAAGGCAGCTGAGAGGTGACCCTTTGCCTCCCTGGTCCCACGGAGGGCTTGGACTGGGCAGCAACGGTCTCCTGGTGCTTGCTCAGTCTAAGGAGGTCACAGTAAACACCCTCACTTTGATTTGAGGCTGGGTGATGCGTGAGAGTCTAAAAGGCCTGCTGGGGCTTGGCTTGGAGGGGTTTGGTCCTGGGGGCTGTTAAGGTTTCAATATAGACCGCAGGGGTTATGCCAGCAGCACGCAGCTCCAGCTTGGACATCCCTGGGAGTCCCTCATGGCACTTGAGGAGGACCAAGACCCCACAGTCATCGAATCATGTCTCCCGAGCAGGGGCTGGGATGGGGCAGGTGATGCATGGGGGCAGCATGTCCCCTCTGTGGCCAGTACACACGGGCTCTCAAGGCTCCTCACAGACTCGGGGAGCAGACGCTGCCTGGGATGGAGCTCGTTCACCTCCCACCCCCCAAAGTAAAAGTGGCCTCAAAAATAAAACTTTTTTGCAAAGAAAACAACTACTTCTGCTTTCCTGCACATAAAGGTGTGGCTCCACCCCACGCTGTTGGCAACAGCATGCTGTCTGAGTGTGGAGGAGCAGGGCAGGACCAAGTCCCTGCTGCTGCTGGTGACCACCGTGGCCCTGGGGGCTTGCTGTGAGTCGGGACAGGGGCCGTGGGGCGGGGGCAGCCAGGGGTGGGGGCAGTAGGGGCAGGTTTGGGGCTGGGTGAGGCCCGGGCTGCTGGGGGTGGTTCTCAGGGCCGGGGGGTGCCTGGGGCTGGTGGTCCAGGGGTGCTGCTGCTTCTTGCTTGGCCACCCTGAGCTGCCCTTCGTCTGCCTGTGCTGCCTCCCACTGCCTTCCCATTGCCTCCCACTGCCTTCCCATTGCCTCCCACTGCCTCCCACTGCCTTCCCATTGCCTCCCACTGCCTTCCCATTGCCTTTCTTCCACTGCTTCCCACTGCTTCCCACTGCCTTCTCCTTGCTTCCCATTGCATTCCCACCACCTCCCACTGCCTCCAACAGCCTCCCACCACTTCCCACTGCCTGCCATCACCTGCCACTGCCTTCCCATTGCCTCCCACTGCCTCCCACTGCCTTCCCATTGCCTCCCACTGCCTCCCACTGCCTTCCCATTGTCTCCCACTGCCTCCCACTTCCCCCCACTGCCTTCTCCTTGCCTCCGAGTGTATTTCCATTGCTTTTCCACTGCCTTCCCATTTGCTTCCCACTGTATCCTGTCACCTTTGTATTGACTTCCCATTACCTCCTGCTGCCTCCTATTATATCTACCCCTTCCTTGACATCACTGGGACTTCTTTGCCCTTCCCACTGGCACTCCAGGGGCTGATCCTGGCCAGGCTGGGCCCCCCCAAGCATCTGTGGGAGGGTGAGCACCTGAGCCGTGCCCCTGCCCCCAGATTGCTGCCCCTCGGGCTGGGTGCTCTACAGGGGCAAATGCCTCTTCATCTCGGTGGAGAAGAAAACCTGGCTGGACAGCCATTACGACTGCAGAAGGAAATTCGCTTCGCTGCTGGTCCAAGGCAACTGGCCATCGTGGACGGTGCCGGTACAGAGCAGGGGGGGCCGTGGTGGCACCCCAGGAGGGTGGGGGTGATGATGGGGCTGGGCAGAGCCCTGTGGGGCCAGCAGAAGCAGCACCTGCAGAGGTGCTGGGGTGGCACCGTGAGCCCTGGGTGCCCATCCAGATGGGCTGCGGGGGAGCACGGCCAGCCCCGGGGCTCCTGGGCACCAGGCGGCTGCTGGGAATGGGACAAGCGGTCAACAGCTTCTCTCCCCCGAGAATTTCATGCAGGCACATGGTGCCGCGTACTGGATCGACGGGAGATATCAAAATCATCATGATAAACCTGAGGGGCTGTCTGAGAAGCCATATAAAGAGTAAGTTGTTCCATCTTGGCCACCTGTAGCTCTCCCAGCTTCACCAGCAATGGGTAGAGGTGCTGAGCAGTGCCTGGGCATCTCTCCCGCCCATGGGACTGATCCTCGGGCATGGGCAGTGCTCTGGCCTTCCTGCCCAGGCTAAGGAGCCTTGGAGCTGCAGCTGCATGGGCGTGCACCATGGGGCTGGCAGCAGGCTGGGAGCATGGTGGTGGTACCTCTCACATGCCCCTTCCCTTTTGGAACAGTTAGCTCCCTCTCTGTGCTAGTACATCCTATGGGAAGATAAGCAACTCGTACTGCTGTGATGATTTTCTATGAATCTGTGAGAAGCTCCCAAATCTGACCAGCCCAGTCAATATCCTCTCTCCTCTCCCTGCCAAGGGGTGAACTCTGAGACCACCCTTCCATTGCAGGACTGAGGGACAGGATCTGGGGGTGCACAGAAAACACATGCTCTCCCTCCTGCACAGTCACATCCGTGGGCACCATTGCCCCAGCTGCACTTTGTAGCTCTGGAGATACAGGTTGGAAAAGAAGGTGTCTGCATTTTAAAACAAGACATGTGGAAAACAGGCTGTATTTCTGTGTTCTGCACTCATACCTATGCTTACTTTCCTGGCCCCTGCCCTCCATCCCCAGCTCCCATGGCACAGGGAGCGGATGCCAGTACCAAGCCCTGCTCACCTCTGCTGCGTTCCACTGAGGCTGGTTTGGGAGATGCATCTTGCACCTTATGAAGCTGGGTATGATGGTGCCATTGGTGTCCCCAGACTGTCCCCCTTGGGGTGTCCTTCAGTTTTACGGGCTGCCAGTCGCCTCTGTCACTGCTGCTGACTCCTGCCCTGCCCTTTCTTCTCCCTCCATCACCTGCCCTTGGCCACAGCCCGTCCCAGAGCTGAGTTTCGTTCTCCCAGAGAAGAACCTTTATCCCAGGAAGAAGATGGAGCATGTCCTACTGGGCATGTGATGGTCCAGGCCCAAGGAGAACATGCTGATAGATGGGGAAAGCCAGGCAGGATTTACCAAGGGCAAGTGATGCCTGTCTGACCTGTCTGCTGCTGTGGGAACACTGGGCTGTGGCCAAGGCCAGAGCAATGGGGGCCATTCATCACGAACCTTTGAGGTCTGGGACATAGTTTCCCATGGTCTGCTTGCTGGCAGAGTGGGGAGATGTGGCCAGAAGAGGAAAAGAAGGTGGGTGGAAATATGGATGGCAGGAGGGCTGCAGAGGGCGGGTTGTCAGTGACACTTGTCCAGCTGGCAACATCCCTGCGGGGTCAGTCCTGGGGCGGATGCTTCTTGAGGCCTTCACCGGTGCTCTGGATGATGGAATGGGGATGGCCTCAGCCAGCTTGGGGGCAACACAGAGTGGGCAGTAGTGGATATACCAGAGGGCAGGACTGATGTTCCGTGGGACCCGGAGAAACTGTGTGATGGGAGCTTGCTGAGGTTGGATGGGGGAAAGGGCAAGTCCTGCAGCTGGGAAGGAAGGAGAAATGCCATGCGTCAAGATGGGCAAGCAAGCATCCATGCTGAAGATGCCTGGGGGACACACGAACCAGAGGCTGAGCAGGTGTCAGCAGTGTGTCCTTGTGGTGACAGAGCCCAGTGACACTGGGAATGGTGGCTGGAGCTCAGGGCTCCATGAGCAGGGAGCCTGCTCCTCTGACGGCACCAGGGAGACCATGCCTGGGCTCCCCAGGACAAACCAGACACAGCAACTCCTTGTTTCTCACAATATATGAGATTTCAGGGGACCTCCTGCAGCCCTGTCCCAGCCTCTCAGCCTCGCCATGCCATGGGCTGGCTCCAGCAGCCTCCTTCCATGCCTCCGCTCCCAGGAGCTGCCCACAACCAGATTGGCAAAGTGGTCCCTGCCTCATCCCCCTCTGCAGAAGCACTAAGTGAGACATGGAGGGCCAGCGCTGCCGCGGGTCTCCCCCACCCACCCCAGTGGGGTCAGGGACAGGGCTCCCTCATCGCACCCCTGGCAGCTCAGGTCCCACCATGGTCTTATGGATCTTTCCCCAGTGGTGGCAGGGGTCTCCCCTTTCCCCCATGTTCCCAAGCCTCCCCAGCGCTTCCTCATCTCTCCCAGTCTTAAGGCTCCTTACTGCACCCTCATTTCCTACCGTGGCCTCCAAGCTCCCCCATTTGCCTTCCAGGATCTTGGGGATCTTTACTGCACCCCCATTTCCTCCATGGCCTCACGTCTCCCTTATTCATCCCCACACTCTCAGGGTTCCCTCATCCACACCCCATGGTCTCAGGGCTCCCCAGTGCTCTCCCACCTCCCCCCATGGTTTCAGGGCTTCCCAGCAGTTTCCCATGCTGATGGCACTGCTGCCTGCACCCTGCCAAGGCAAGGCACAGCCCAAAGCCCTGGGCAGGTGGTGGATGCAGGAGAAAGGGCAAGATGGGCGCTGTCTGTGCCGAGGGAAGGGATAAGCAGTAAATCCGCACGACTCCTTGAAGGGGACGGGTCGGGGATACCAACGGTGCTGTCATCTACCAGCTCCAAAAAGGTGCAAATGGCACATCTTGCACCTGCAAACCAGTGGCAGCCTCAGGGGAGCGTGGCAGGCGGGAGCTGGGCTCTGCACTGAGGTCCAGGGTCACTGCAGGGCTGCCCTGGCTGGCTGGGGCACACAGGGACACACAGGGGATTGGTGCAAGGTGGTTTAAGTGTATGCATGAGTGTGAGAGAGGGGAATAAGGTCTGTTTTCCATGAGCCTTGTTTTAAAATACAGACAACCTTTCCCAGCGCTTTGCAATGCGGTTGAGGCAATGAGTGCCCAGGGCAGAAGGTCTTGAGGTGCGACCCCCAGCTTCCATCCCCGAGTCCTGCGATGGAGTAGGGTGTCAGCAGAGTCAGTCCACAACCAGGAGAGGATAGAGGGTCTCATATGTGCTGCTCAGCTTCGGGGGTTTCTCGCAGATCCACTGGAACTTTTTCATGCATTTTGAACCCTCTATATTCCCGCCAGCTGCTAGCCCGCAGTCTGCAGAAAGGTTGTAACTAGGAGAGAGGGGACATCTCAGAAGGGCTGTGACAGCATCTTCACCCCCTTCTCACAGGTCCCAGTGCTGCTGGGACAGGCTGGGCACCTGGCACTGGGATCAGTCTGAGGGAGAGCCATGTTCCTCCCCCCAGCCTCCCCGTCTGCCACTTGGAGATCCCACAGTGTACCCCGCAGCTGGGCTCTGCCCAGGGCCCCCTCCCCTGGGGGGCACTGCATGTTGGAGAGTCACTCCCTTTGCTGGGTGGGGTCTTACAGGGGTGAAAGAGCACCTCCACAGCACGGCTACAGAGCAGGTGCTTGTGCCAAGGGCTGCTGCACTTACAAGTGTAACTGCTTGTTGTCCTGCCATACAGGTGTCCTCTTCCCGACAACAGGAATTGTTGCTCCAACCCAGTACGCAGCACCATGTGCCTGCACGAAATTCTGGGGGGAAAGAAGCTGTTGACCGCTTGTCCCATTCCCAGCACCCGCCTGGTGCCCAGGAGCCCCGGGGCTGGCCGTGCTCCCCCGCAGCCCGTCTGGATGGGCACCCAGGGCTCACGGTGCCACCCCAGCACCTCTGCAAGTGCTGCTTCTGCTGGCCCCACGGGGCTCTGCCCAGCCCCATCATCACCCCCACCCTCCTGGGGTGCCACCACGGCCCCCCCTGCTCTGTACCGGCACCGTCCACGATGGCCAGTCGCCTTGGACCAGCAGCGAAGCGAATTTCCTTCTGCAGTCGTAATGGCTGTCCAGCCAGGTTTTCTTCTCCACCGAGATGAAGAGGCATTTGCCCCTGTAGAGCACCCAGCCCGAGGGGCAGCAATCTGGGGGCAGGGGCATGGCTCAGGTGCTCACCCTCCCACAGATGCTTGGGGGGGCCCAGCCTGGCCAGGATCAGCCCCCACATCTCCCTTGCAGCATCACTGCCCATCCCTCCACCCCACCACAGCCCTACCTGTATTTATGCAGGCACGCAGGCTGCTCACGGTGCTCTTGCTGGCCCTAAGCTCCCCCTGCACCTCCTTCATCTCCTTCTCCGTCTGCCCCAGGACCCCCATCACGCGCCCCAGCTCGGCGTTCAGGCTCCCCAGCTCCAACCGGCTGCTGTTGCCCTCCTGCCACGCTCGCTGCAGCTCCGCTCTGGCCCGCGACAGCTCCAGCCGCATCTGCTCCAGGCTCTCCTCCCGCACGCTCACCTCCCACTCGAGGCGGTCCTGCTCGGCCACGAGCTCTTGGGAAGTGTCCTGCAGCCTGTGGGTGACCTGCCAGTCTGGGGACAGGGCGGGTGAGCTGGGGCAGGGGGGGACATGGGACTGAGCCTGCTCAGGGCATGGCCCTCACAAAGGAGAATGGGCTATGAGTGTCTGGCTGTGGACAGAGACTGTCATGGAGTTGCCAGTGGGAAGGGAAAGGAAGCCCCAGTGGTGGCAAGGGAAGAAGAGGTAATGGGAGACAGTGGGAGGTAATGGGATGGTAATGGAAAGGTGATGGGAGGCAGTGGGAGGCAATAGGGAGGCAGTGAGGGGCAATGAGAATGCACTGGGAAGCAAGGAAAAGGCAGTGGGATGCAGTGGGAGGCAGTGGGAGGCAATGGGAAGGCAATGGGAAGGCAGTGGAAGGCAATGGGAAGGCAGTGGCAGGTGATGGCAGGCAGTGGGAAGTGGTGGGAGGCAGTGGGAGGCAATGGGAAGGCAGCAGGAGGTAATGGCAGTCAGTGAGAGGTGGTGGGAGTCAGTGGGAAGCAGTGGGAGGTGGTGGGAGGCAGTGGGAGGCAATGGAAAAACAGTGGGAGGAAATGGGAGGTAGTAGGAGGTGGTGGGAGGCTGTTGGAGGCAGTGGGAGGTGGTGGGAATGCAATGGGAAGCAAGGAGAAGGCAGTGGGAAGGCAGTGGGAGGCAGTGGGAGGCAATGGGAAGGCAGTGGGAGGCAGTGGGAGGCAATGGGAAGGCAGTGGGAGGCAGCACAGGCAGACGAAGGGCAGCTCAGGGTGGCCGAGCAAGAAGCAGCAGCACCCCTGGACCACCAGCCCCAGGCACCCCCCAGCCCTGAGAACCACCCCCAGCAGCCCGGGCCTCACCCAGCCCCAAACCTGCCCCTACTGCCCCCACCCCTGGCTGCCCCCGCCCCACGGCCCCTGTCCCGACTCACAGCAAGCCCCCAGGGCCACGGTGGTCACCAGCAGCAGCAGCAGGCTGGCCGCCAGCATCCCCGCGGGGACACGCCAACGCCGGGGCCAGCGCCCTGCAAGAGACGAGCGCCCACGGGCGTCACCCTGTGGTCCCAGTGCCAGCACCGGGCACCCACCCTGCGCTGGGGCATCCCCGCGGCAGTGGCCACAGCTGGGCTCTCACCCGGGCTGGGCTGCGCAGGCACCGGCCCCCGTGGCACGTTCTCGTAGGGGCTGTCGTCCTCATCGGGGGCTGTGGGGCCGGCGGGGGCGGTGAGTGGGGGGGCCATGGAAAACTTCAGGTCGGCGTAGACCACGCTCTGGGCCATGCCCTGCGCTGCCCTGATGGCCGATGGCTCCTGCTCTGCCGTGGTCTCCCCCTCTCTCGCGGCTGCAAAGGAGAAGTGTGGCTGGTTTTTGCATAAGCAGAAGTCTGCCGTGAGGTGCGGCAGATGGGAGCAGAAGAGCGCAGCCATTGGACCCCGGCACCGCTGCCCTGTCCCCTTCCACGCCCTGAAACTGATCGTGGTCCCCTGGGACGGCGGTGGGGTGGTGCAGCTCGGGGCTGGTGTGCTGGGCAGAGCTTCAGGGCTCAGTCTGCCGAGAATCAGCCTGAATCCCTGAGGCAGGGGAGATTGGGGCTGGTTTCCACATAGGAACAGGTTGTTCTGGGGGTAGCTCCATCCAGAGTGGAGGTTCCCCCTCTCCACGCTCCGCTCAGTGATGTTTCAGCATTGCTGCTGTGCAGAAATATTTGCCTTAATGCCTAAAATGGGCTTCCACATTGCGGCGTGAGGTCTTGCTCTTCTCCCGTTCTGGCTACATCTCCCCACTCTGCCAGCAAGCAGACCACAGGGAGCAATGTCCTAGACATCAAGGGGTCACAATACATGGCCCCCATCGCTCTCCCCTCATTCCCAGCCCACTGCTCCCACAGCAGCAGGCAGGCTGGCTGGGCAAGTGCCACTTGCCCTTGGTAAATCCCAGTGGGGTCCCCCCAGGCACCACCATGTCCTTCCCGAGCCTGGACCACTGTGCGCCCAGGAGGATGTGCTCCATCCTCTTTCTGTGAATTGGGTAGAAACTACGCGATCTTTACATTTCCAGAACTCCTTCCTGTCCCCTTTGAAGTTGGCCATGATTTTTACCTTTCTCCAGTGATGAAGGGCTTCCCCTGCTCTTGCGGAGGTGACACAGAGTGGCCCTGCAGTGCTGTACTCCACCAGCACGTCCGCACATCCCCAGTCCTGTCCCAGGAACTGGCTGTATCCAGATGTGCCCAGCTGCTCCCCAACTCCGCGCCCCTTCTGGAACCTGCCTTTCTCGGGATGCAGATCAGCAGAGACCTCTGAGATGGTGAGGCAGTGAAGGTTGGGACTGAGAAGATGCTACTGGGGTTGTGTTCTGCAGAAGGGAAGGCAAAGCAGGTGTAGTTGCTCTGTGCAACTCTCTGCAGGGGGGGGGAGTGGTGGTGGTGGTGGTGTTTGGGGCCATGATGAAGCCAGGTTTTTCTAGGTGGGCACCAGGGAAAGGACAAGAGGCAACGACACAAGCTACTTCATCAGGAAATTCTCATTCCCAGTGGCCAGGTGGGGAAATCTGTGTCCCTGAAGACCTCCAGCCCTCCACAGTGCTGTCCCCAGAGCAATATGTCCAGGCTGGCCCTGCTGTCCCCCAGCTCTCCCCTGGCCAAGGGATTTGGGTTCCATCTTTGCTCTGCCAGTGCCTTGACCTCAGACTGTGCTGCCCTGGCCCTTCTGCATGCCTGGGGGGACCGTGAGCACTTCTGGGGCGTGGGAGGGGCTGGGCCAGTGGTGCTGGGACCAATGAGAGGGTGCTGGTCCCCACAGCTGTGCCTCGCTGGTCCCATCTGCTACAGCTCGGAGCAAACTTCTGCTTCTGCAGACACTGGGTGCACTTCTCTTTTGCACCTCCGAGAGACGGCGCAATCACCGGGGAGCGGGACCATCCCAGAAAGTCATCCCAAGGGCAGGGTGGGAGCCAGCAGGGCTCAGGGCTTGCCCAGCACTTCCCCACATGGCCCAGAGCGTGGTATATGCTGACCTGAGGTTTGCCAAGGTGATGGGGGGCCGGAGCATGGCCAGCCAGGCGCTGGAGGCAGGTGAGAGCCAGCGGGACTCCCCTCCTACGCTGCCCCCGCCATGCCCAGCCCCGTGGACTCATCTGCTCTCCTCTGCCTTCCTCCAACAGCCCTTGGCATGGACGAGGCTGAGAGCCCCTACGAGAACATGCAGCCAGCACCGGTGGGGCAGGATGGGGACGGGGCCCAGCCCAGTCCAGGTGAGTGCCCAACTGGAGCCCAGGGGACCCAGGGAGGTCCTGGTGTGTGTGGGTAGTGGGTGGTGTTTCGGGGTGCTCCTGCTCCCATCCCTGAAAAGAGGAAGTGCCCACACCGTGGCCACCTGTGCCATCATGCTACCACTCCACCACCTGTGGGCAGGAGGTCTGGGGGCTGCCGGGGGTTTCCTGGCTCACCCACTGATGCCTGTGGTCGGTTCTGTTTTACAGAGCGCTGGTCCTGGCGGTGGTGCATCCGTGTGGGGCTGCTGGCAACCTGCCTGCTGCTGCTGGTGGCCACTGTGGCCTTTGGGGCTTGCTGTGAGTTGGGGAGGGGGGGTGGGCACTTTTGGGATTGGGGGAAGCTGGGCAGCAAGGGGAGAGGGAGGCAGCTGGGCTGGGGCGGGTGATGAGACTGAGCGGGAGGGGGTGAATAGAGGGGATGCCCACGCTCACTGCTCGTGGCTCGGTCCCTCTGCCCCATCTGCCACAAGCTGGCCTGTATCCCTCACACATCACGGGTTCCTCCTTTGCCTTCCATCACCCACCTTCCCCACCCTGTTTTCCATTTCTGCTTCTTCCCTTCCAGATGTTGCCTAGCCTCTTATCGCTGCACCCTCCCAGCCCCTGCCCCTCTCTGTCTGCTCCTACACCCTGCCCTGCCTTGTCCTGCTCTCCCCTGCCACTTTCTGCCCAGCCCCTGACCGTACACTTCCCTGCCATATCTTCCACATCCTTTCCCACTCATCACCAACACCTCTCTGCTTTGCCCTGCCCATCCTATCCTCTGAGCGGGCTCAGTCCCATGTCCCCCCCCCGCCCAGGATGTCCCATCCCCCTGCCCCAGCTCACCCGCCCTGTCCCCAGACTGGCAGGTCACCCGCAGGCTGCAGGACGCTTCCCGTGAGCTCGTGGCCGAGCAGGACCGCCTCGAGTGGGAGGTGAGCGTGCGGGAGGAGAGCCTGGAGCAGATGCGGCTGGAGCTGTCGCGGGCCAGAGCGGAGCTGCAGCGAGCGTGGCGGGAGGGCAACAGCAGCCGGTTGGAGCTGGGGAGCCTGAACGCCGAGCTGGGGCGCGTGATGGGGGTCCTGGGGCAGACGGAGAAGGAGATGAAGGAGGTGCAGGGGAAGCTCAACAACAGCGAGAACACTGTGGCCATCCTGCGCTCCTGCACGGCTGTAGGTAGGGCGATGGTGGGGCAGGGATGGGGTCCCCCAGGGGACTGGCAACCCTCAGCAGGTCCTGAGCCAAGGCACAAGCACTGGCTTTTTTGGCCACTTAGTGGGGTCAAGGGTTGTCCAAATGCTGAAGCTACGCCTGGAGCAGATGCTGAGCCTGTGATGTCTGCTGGGAAGGATCAGGGCTGTTCCTGGTCCACCCCAAGTGCATCAGTGGCTGAGCAAGCACCTGAGCTGTGCCCCTGCCCCCAGATTGCTGCCCTTCAGGCTGGCTGCTGTACAGGGGCAAGTGCCTCTTCATCTCATCGGAGAAAAAGACCTGGGAGGACAGCAGAGATGAGTGCGAGAGGAAATATTCTCAGCTCCTGGTCACCAAATCCTGGAGTCGCTGGACCGTGCCGGTAGGGTGCTGGGGGGAGCTGAGGGCAGGAGCTGGTGCATCCAGTCCTGGGGTCCCCAGGTGGGCCATCACTGCCCTGGGGACCTCTGGCCTGCCAAAGCATTGGAAGGTGCAAGGCTGATCTCTGGAGCACGTGGTTGGTGGTGGACGTGGGACAGAGAGGCTCTGGCACCCCTGGATGCTGCCCAAGCTGGAGCAAGGCACCAGGGCTGCTCAGCTGTCCTGCTCCAAGGAGCTCCAGCCCCAGGGGCTCCCTGGGGACATGACCACCCCCTGGAAACACCGCAGCACATAGGTACCATGGAAAAACCACCAACAGACCCTTCTTCTCCTTCCCCAGACCTTTCTGAAGAACGCGGACATCCCGTACTGGATTGGGCTGCAGAAGGGCAGTTTCCCCTGGTATGACTATGGCTGGCTGGAGGAAGGGGACCCGGATGGCGAAGGGGTCTCAGATGCCTGGTTCTGGGTGGACGGCTCCCTTTATGAAAGGTACCCAGCTGCACAGCCTCTTGCTGTAACATCTCCTCCAGCACAGCTTTAGGAAGCATTTTAAATCCCACCAGTACCCTGTCCCAGGCACAAGCACCGGGCAGTGAAGACCATCAAAGCAGTTGAAGCCGGGGGGAGGTGGGTGTGGTGGTATGATGAGATGCTTGGAGGCCATGCAAATGGAAAGCCAGGACTTTTGGGGGCATGTGCAGGGCATGCGCAAGCAGGAGGCAGCGAGAGGGGACAAAAGAAACCGCAAGTTTTATCTGGGGTCTAGACAAAGCATTTGAGCAACACCTCTATTCCCCGTGTGCCTCCCTGGTTCCTCCTCAAGGGGAAATCAAGCCTTCCCACCCACAGAGGGTCCTGGGCTCCTCCCCGCCACGTGCACCCCTTCCCCATCTCACCACCGCTTCCTCTTGCAGTGTCTGAGAGCAGTGGGGAGGAACAGACCCATCTGGCTGGGTGTCGGGTACCCGGACCCTGCCTGCTGTCTGCCCCTCCATCCTCAGCCCCGCTGTGGGGGGCTTGCACCCCACTGCAGCCCCAAGGCCCAGGGCAGATCCTCCGGCTATCCACGCACCCTGGGGGAGGACCAGGCTCTCCCCACCACCAGGCACTGCGGGGATGAAATATCCCCCAGGAGAGAGTCTGAGTTGCAGGCAGAGTGGAGGCTAAGGGGAGTTGCATGCAAAGCAAACTTCTTGCAGGGGGGTTTCTCAGCCTGCCCAAAGAAGGGCAGGGATGTGTTGGCTGAGGCTTCAGCCTGTGAAATCAGTAGGGGAGGACTGGGACATCCCCGCTTTGGCTGCAGCATTCAAGCCCTCCTGCGCGAGCATGCAAGGGGCTGCAGCTGGCAGCCGTGGCTGCCTTGGCAGGGGGTGGTGGGTGGTGTGGTGGCAGACCCCCCTGACCTGTCGTTTCCCCATCCAGGCCATGGCAGTCAAAGTCGAACGGCTCCTGTGCCATAATAAGCCGCGGAAACATCAAACCCACCCAGTGTGCCGGTCCTGACGACCTGCACTTCTGGATCTGCGAGAAGGCGGCGGGGCCGAGCTCCCCTTTCATGGGATGATGCCCCAGCACCGCTGTGGTGAGTGTGCCCATGCCAGGCTGTGCTAAGCCGTGGCATGCGTGGGGCCTGTGGGGTGTGCATGGAGGAAAGTGGGGGAGTCTGGGCCTTTGCCTGGGGTTATGCTGACCCTCTCCCTTGGAAAGAGAGAGTGATGCAGGCACCTTCCTGTGCTGGATGAAGCCTGCCTCCATCCCTTCGCTGCCGTGGGAGCCCCTGGTCTGCATTAGCTCAAGAGACGCCCGCCAAGCTGTGGTGCAGCAAAGGGACGAGATGGGGGGGAAACCCCTTTGCGAGCTGCCTTGCCAGCCCTGCTACATGCGGTGGAGGCTGGGCAGCACCTCACCCTCACCCTGCGTCTTCCCTTGCAGCACCTGCGCTCCTCACCGCCTCCGCTTCAGCCCTGCTGCACCCCTGCCCAGGATGTCGCATCCATGCAAGCAACCCCCCTTCCCTCTCACTGACCCTTGTCCATGCGCTGCCCGGGTCCTTCCCAGCAATGCCCAGCGATGCTCCAGCATCACGCAGGCTGGGGGAGGTGGTGGCTGTGGCCGTTTCCCCCCAGCTGATGTGCTTCAGCAGAGCGGTACGGGCCCTACGGCTCAGACCCACACCTGCATGGGGTATGCTGGGTCTTCCTGAGCACAGGGACTGGTGTGTGATGGGGAGCGCGGACCCGGCCACACAGCAGAGCAAGCCCCGATGTTCAGCGCTGCAGCCATGCAACATCCCCAGTGCAGAGCGCTGGCATGAAAGGATAAGGGAGTAGGGGACAGCACAGCCCCACAGCCGGCCAGGCCTCCTCCCCACGGCAGAGACTTTCTCCCTGGCCCCATCACGAGAGCAGCTTGTCCACAGCTTTTGGGCAAAGACAGCAACCAACAGCCTCAGTGCCAGGGAGCGAAGCTGCCCGTGAACTGTCTGGTGCTTGTGCTGGAGGCTGGGTTTTTTTTTTTGCTAATTAGAAAGTAGAGCAATGACCTTCAGGATTGTACAGTGTGATGGTGCCTTTCAAAAGCAAAAGTAACTCTGGCACTTTGCAGCGGCTGACGCTTTGCGAGACAGGTAGTCAAGACTTTAAATAGTTACTACACACGTGCACGTGTGAAGATTAACCAAAATAGCCCTGATGTAACATTGCAGCCAAGCAAGAGCAGAGGAAGTCATGTTCAACCAGGCGGAAACCCTCTCAGTTTATTATGGGGTTGCGTGTGCCATGTATAGTTGATTAACTGCTATGTGAATTAGCTTGCTTGAAGAGCAAAAGGGTGTTAAAGGCAGGCTTTTTGGAGGTGGCACATGTCACTCGTCTCTTGCCCGCCAGCTGAACCCACTTTGTAGCAATAAAGAGTCACAGTTCGTCTGCTCTTTGCTTTCTTCTGCACCACCACGAACACAAACTCAAGGGCATGAACCCAAAGAACCTAAATAATAAATGGGAATTTGACCGAAGCCATTTCAACCGAGATGGACACTTTGGGGGCACTGAGATTTTGGGCTGAGCCAGTCCGGCCTGTGGTCCCTGAGGGGACTCTCCAGAAGCCCCAGGCAAGCCCCTGCAACCTTTTGGTGCCGGGCTCCCCTCTGTGTCTGACGTACATCCAAGAGACAGAAGCAGCAGCCCGAGTTGCTGGGACATTCAGTTTTTATTGAACACTTTAAATAAGCTGGGTATATATTACTAGCAATTATTATTATTAATAATAAAAAACACAAGAGTTCTGCATTCACCAGTGCACTGTGCCGGAGGGAGGAAAGCCGGCTCCCACCCTTGCCGGGGGCTGGGCAGCCTGGCCATGATGCCCACCGGCTCCTTCCCCCACTGCCAGGATGGCACCCGGCCCCTCTGCCAGCACCCTACTTGAGGGGCGCGGGATGCCGTGCTGGCTCAGCACCCAGCCCTCGGCATTGGGCGGGCATGGATATCCCCAGTGCTGGCAATCCTCCCCATGCACTGCCCTGTCCGTGGGCTGCACCCCTCTCCCAATCCCCTACACACCTCCCCCTATCCCCCGCACGCCTTCCCCCGCGTCAGGGACCGGCTGCACTCCCCACACTTGTGGGGCAAGCGCGGGGGACGCTCCCCCCAGCCCCAAGACACACATACACACACTGACCCTTCTGCCCCCAGCCCAGCCCTGCTCACCCCCTGGCCTGGGAAGTGGCGGGGGGCTGCTGGTTCTCCCGGGGGAGCAAGCACGTTGCACACCCCTCTATGAGAGCCTGCAGAGGGATGAGCCCTGGGGGAAGGGGGGTCCTGCATCCAGGGTTTGAGTCCCTGGGGCCCTATGGGGGACCAGCCCAGCTGCCTGGGTGCACGCTCAGGGCGGGGGTGTTATTGCACTTCAGTCCCCGGCAGGGACCCAGCCCACCCCCGGGGCTCCCCACAGACCCCCCCGAGGCCGATCCTGGTGGGATGGGTGCCCAAGCACCTGGGCAGCACCGTGGTGGCCATGGCACGGGGCACCGTGGACACCAGTGGCCACCAAGCACGGAGCAAACCAGGACAGACCGTGGGGACGTGCCGGGCTCCTCCAGCTGCCCGGCGCTGTGGCTGCGGAGGGGTCTGGGGGTGGGGCAGGATGCAGCCCCGCTCCCCAGGGGTCCCCAGCACTAGGACTGTGCCTCCGGCAGCTTCAGGCTGGGCTCTGCCAGCACTGGCCCCGGGGATTTCTGGTGTCGGCCCCGGTCATGGCAGAGGAGGCTCTTGGCCTCGCAGTTGAGGTTCTGGTAGCGGGGCGGGCTGGGTGCCGGCCGGTGGCAGACGGAGGCGAAGCTGAAGCTAAAGGGACCCAGGCAGCAGCCGGGGCAGGGCAGCACCTCATCCTGCTCCAGCACAGCACCGGAGCTGTGCCCCGGCAGCATGGCCACGAGCTCCGTCCGCTCCAGCGTCGCGGCGCAGGGGATGCTGAGCTCGGAGAAGCCGTGCTCCAGCCCGCTGCCCCAAGCCAGGGGTTTGCTGACCACCACGTGGTTGTTGTTGAAGAGGAGCCCGTTGAGGGCTCGTGGCTCTGGCTGCCAGGGTCGGGCGCCTGAGGATGCCGTGCGGATAAAGTTGCTGTTGGGGGGGCGGCTGCGGGGGCTGTGGCGGCTCTGGGGTGTCAGGGCCACAGTCCATCCGCTCCTCCGCCCCAGGGCTGAGGGGGGAGGCTCGTCCCCGAACTGGGGGAGGAAGGAGGGTGTGGGGGGGCTGGGGGTTGTCAGTGGGACGGGGGGACCCCACGCCCAGCGCCAGGCCCCCCCGGTGGGGCAGCTCAGGGGAGGCGGGCAGCGAGTGGCACTTGCGGGGGGCAGCAGCAGGGGCCGAGAAGTCACACTGCACCTCCACGGCGGGCTCGGGCGTCACGGGGGTGCTGAGCTGGAGCGGGGCCGGGGGCGGCAGGTCGAAGGTGAGTGAGATGACCGACTTGCTCGGCGTGTCGAAGAGCTTGATCTTCCCCCCCTTCAGGTCCTCACGCTGGGAGAAGGGGTTGACGCGGGGGGACGCCTCCTTGGTCCTGGCCCCGCCGTAAGGCTCCGGCGGCCGCAGCAGGCCGGGCGATTTGGGGGGGAACACGTCGGACTGGCTGCGGGACAGGCGCTGGTCCGGCTGCAGGTGCTGCGTCCCCAGCTCGCGCAGGGGCGATTGCTCGGCACGGCCGGCCGCCCTCCCGGCCACCCCTGGGCATGGGCACAGGAGCAGGTCACCAGTCACCAGCAGCTCCCAGTGCGGGGTACTATGGGGTGCCAAGCGCCCAAAAACCCAGGGGTGCGCCCCGATGGGGGAACAGCGACCGGCTCCATCCTACAGACCTCAGGAGACCCCTGTCTCCTTCCCCTGCAGCTGCCAAGGTAGGGTGGGACACCCCGCATACCCCCTCCTTGCACCCTCCTATGGCCCGTCCGCGGGGCGCCCACGTACCGTTGAGCGTGGCCGCCATCCCAGGGGTGGGCAGGCTCTCCCCGACGCCGAAAAGGGTGGCCCTGGCACCCTCAGCGCCCGGCTGGTGCTGCAGGATGCCCTCCAGGCACTGCGTGATTTCCAGGAACGAGGGGCGGGTGGTGGGCTCCATCTGCAGGCAAGGAGGGGATCCCCATCAGGTCTGCAGCCACCCCCCCAGCCCCGAGCACCCCAGGGAGCACTGCCCATCCAGGGCAGCTCCCTGCCTCTCCCCCTGCGCGGGCAAGGCTGCCTGTCCTGCCCGCTGCTCCGGCAGGGAAGGGCTGCGGAGAGGGGAGGCTCACACTGCAGCAGTGGAAAGCGAGCTGGAGAAACGCCGCCGGGCAGTCGATTCCCACCATGGTGCGGAAAGCGGTGACGTCCAGACCAAAATCCTGGTCCAGGGAAAGAAGGAAGAGTGAGGGTGGGTCCCCTGGGGTGCCACACGGCCCGGGGGACCCAAGATGGCCTGGCCCTCTCTCCCCACACTGACGGTGTGGCACCCAGGGCTGTTGGACCTGGCAGCACCCCAGCTGGGGCACAGCAAGGGGGGACCCTGAGGTCACCCCAAGTTGGGGCAAGGCTGGGGGATGCTGGCACACAGATCCCTCCTACTCTCTGCCTGAATCCAACTGTCCCCTTCTCCCACGCAGGATGACTATGGGCTCCAAAGACCCAGAGGGCATCCCAACCTGGGCAGCCCGTGGTGCACAGCACCCCTGCCCTGAGATGTGGGGCAGATCCTGCACACGGGGCTCGTCCCAGCACAGGAGGATGGTCCCCCTCACTCGGTGAAGCATTCCCAGCCCCGGTGCTGCTGCCTGCCACCCTCCCTCCCTGCCCCCATCCCCGGGAGTCACCTCGGTGCGGGGCAGGTAGTCGGGGTCAGCGGGGACACGAGCGATGGTCTCGCACAGGATGATGCCGTAGGCGAACACATCAGCCTGCAGACAGCAGGGAGTCATGGAAGGGCCCTGCAGCACCGAGGCAATGTGCCCACCCTTCTGCAAACCCACCCCCCCCCCCCCTTTTCCCTGCAGAGCCGCACCAGGGCTCTTGCCACCTTGCTATCCGAGGGATGCCCAGATCCTTCCCTCTGCGTCCCCAAACTCCCCCAGGGCTGCAAATCCTGCAAAACTCTGGTAACGCAAGCCTGGAAGAAGTGCTTCCCACCCACCCCCTGCCATGGCAGCCAGAGAGCCTCACCTTCTCGTTGTAGATCTCCCCTCGCAGCACCTCAGGCGCCATCCAGTATGGGGAGCCCACCACAGCCAACGGTTCCTTCTCACTGCCCTCGCTGGAGAACATGGTGGGACATCAGGGGCTGTCCACAGTCCCCTGTCCCTGTCCAACCTGCCACCGTGGCAGCTCAAATCACCATCTTCATCTCCCTTCCTGGGCTAACCCTCCTCCATGCAGCCCACAAACTCATCTCCCCCCACGCACACCATCCCCTTCTCCATCCCCTCCTAGCCAACCCCAAACATGTCCATCTGCCCCGAGTCCCCATTACTGAGGACCAGCCCCCCATCCCTGACCTTCTAGCTGCACCCCAAATGTCCATCCCTCCCCAGATCGTGCTCCAAGTGGGCTGGAAACCCCCCCACCCCCTCCCGCCAAGCACGGGGGACAGACGGGTGGACACTGCCCACGCACCTGTAGTTGGGGATCTTCTCCGCCAAGCCGAAGTCACCCACGACAGCTGTGTAGCCATTGGCCTCGCAGCGCACCAGGCAGTTCTGGGGGCACAGGAGGACCCCTGTCACACCGACCACACCAGCCCTGCCTCACTGGACACCGCTCCCAGGATGCCCGGGCACAGCACAGCCATGCCTGGGGCAGCAACATGGGAGTGGGACAACAAGGGCCACGGGATGCCTTGGAGCATCCTGTACCTTGGAGGTGAGGTCACGGTGGAAGATGCCCTTGGAGTGCAGGTAGCGCAGGCCACGGGCGATGTCGAGGGCCAGCTTGACACGCATGGACCAGGAGAGGGGCACAGGGCTGTCCAGCAGCTGCTCCAGGTTCCCACCATTGATGTACTGATGGGAAGAGACGGGCCATTGCATCACTGCACCCAACCCCTCCCTCCCATAAGGCTGGGTGCCCACCTCTCGTCCCAACGCATCCCCCCAACCACCCCACGGCACAGCCTCCCAGTAGACCTTGCCCAGCACATCTGCTATGGTCCAAGAAAGTGTCCCCACAGCCACCACTGTGCCCTCCCCAGGCCTGCAGGAACCCCGAGACTCATGTTGTTGCCCCGCTCTCACCTCTGTCAGCGCGTGAAGCTGTCCCTGGTGCACACACACCCCCATGAACCTGTGAGACAGAGGGGACCTGAGGGTGGCCGTGGCGGGGACCAGCCCCAGGAGCTCACCCAGTGCCAGCGGTAGCTCCAAACACCCCAGCCTGGGGAAGAGGGGTGCAATGGGGACGGGGCAGTGGGGGAGCAGGTCCTACCTGAGGATGTTGGGGTGCGAGAGGCGGTTCATCAGCTGCACCTCTCGCAGCATGTTGCCCCGGTTGCTGGTCAGCTTGTTCATCTTCAGCACCATGATCTGCCCCGACTGGCGGTGCCGCACCTGGAGGGGGGGGGTGCAAAAGGGATGCTGAGCCCCACATGCCTCCACAGCACCCCTGGACACCAGCCCTGCACCCGGCACCCACCCCAGCCCTAGAGGTAGGAGCTGAGGGTCCCCACACACCCGAGGCGTGGGGCACCCCAGAGACCATTAGGGCTGGGGCGGGGGGGCTCTCCAGGAACCACAGTACCCCAAAGACCCCCAGTGCTGGTGATGCATACATCTATCCTCCCTGGGGCACCCCACTTGCTGAGCTCCCCCCACCCCCATGCTACACTGCCCAGCCCTCCCTGAGAGGCAGTGGCAGCTCCTGCAAGCTGTGGCCCCAATCCAGGTAGCTGTAGGATTGGGGTGCACCATGGAGGGCTTTTTTGGGTAACAGCAGCACCCAGCCAGACCCTACCAGCATGGGGTGGAGGGCAAAAGGGGCACCCTGCCCCTTTGAACTGGCCCTAGGGGGGTGGCTAGCGCTACCCCGGTGCGTGATCCCAGTCTGGTGGGGCATGGTGCTGGGATGAGGCTGTATAATTAGCCAGCCCCAGTCTGATGTTGTTATGTGAGCTGGGGGCCTGGCCCCCCGCCAGGAACAGCAGCTGGGAGTGTGGCCAAGCACGGACACCCCCTGTCCTTCTGCAGCCCCCCCACCCCCGGCACGTGCGGGGTGTGGGGTGAGCACTGGATCCCCTGCCCCAGCACTGCACCGGAGGGGCCAAACCGGTGCTGAGGGTCCCCTCCTGAGTGAGTGCTGGGGGAGGGATGGGACTCCTCCCACCAGAGCAGCAGCTGGGGGAGAGCGGGGGGGGGGGACATCCCAGCAGATCCCAACTACCCCCCCCCCGGCACACACCAAGCCATGCATGGAGGCGCAGGCATTCCTTGGTGCTGCCGTCAGCTCCATGCTCTTCTCCTTTTTAGTCAATGCTGGTTGAAGCTGCTGTGCTGGTGCCAGCCCCTGGCCACCTCCTTGCTTCAGGGATTGCCTCCCCAGGCAAAACATGGGGGTCTGGCTGGAGGCAGGGCCCCCAGTGCCCCTCAGTCTGCTTGCAGCTTGGCTCCAGTCCCCATCACAAGGTGGGGGGGGCTGTCTGTCTGGCATTGCTTCAGGGAGCAGTTGTCCTGGGGTGCACACTGAGATGGGGGACAGCACCCAGTCCCCGGGGAATGGGCAGCATCTCCCCCCCTCCAAAGAGCCTGGGGGAGAAATTAGTGCTCTATAAAGATCATTCTACATGTGTGGGTGCACCAAGGCCAAACCAGCCCCAGGCTGAGTGGAAGCAAGAGGCAATAGCCTAGCCTGACCCAACCCTGCCGTGCCACCACCAGCTCATGAAGAAGCTCTGAATAATTCAGCAGCCACCTGTCTGTGTGCACCCCTCCAGCCAGCCCCATCCAGCCTGACAGCACCTCTGGGCCACGGGCAGGGGCCACACGGCAGCAGAGATGAGGACGAGTGAGGAGCGGATACCCCAGACATCTGCCACCGTGGGTCCCCATCCTGGTCCCCCACCACGCTGCGGGGAGATGTGAGGATGGGTTCCCCCACGCCTCCTCCTCGCTGAGTCCTGGACAGGGCTCCTGGGCTTGGGGAGAGCTTGTCCCAGGGTGTTGGTGCAGTCCTTGCATGGCTCCTCTGGATCTCTGCATGCTCAGGGTGCCCCATCTAATGGCACCCCAGGTCATCCCTGTGACCCGTGCCATCCTGCTCACCCCATCTCATCACTGCCTTGCATTGCCTGGCACTGCTGCCAGCCCCATCTCGGTGTCCTAGGGCTCCCTGCCTACACCTGCACCATCAGGCAGGGCCAGGAGCAGCCCCCACCCCATCTCTGCTTACCCTCCACCCCACCCCTGCATGCAGGGTAGCTGGAAGCAGAATCAGACACAGAAACGGGGCTCCCAGCCTGACTTTAGTGGCTGTGCAGGCTTTAAGGAGGGGACCTCCCCAGCCAAAGCAGCATGGGCAGGGTCTCCCTTTGCCCCTCCAGCTCCTTGCGGAGCCAGGAGGCAAGGCAGCCAGAGCCCTGGATGAGACCAGCGGGACACCCCAGGCCCACCAAGCCCCCAGTGCTGAGTGCTGCCCAGCAAAGCCCAGTGCTCCGGGCACAGCTCGCCCAGTGGCAGCCCTGCCTTCCCTTCCCACGCTGTGCGGGGCTGGCAGGACTGTCTCGGTCGGCTGGGCTGGCACTGGTGGCAGCCAGGCGCCGGGACCCGGCTCGACAGCCGTGGCTCTGCTCCAGGACTCTGTCCCCAGGGGCAGGGAGGGCTCCAGGGGCACCCAGGACAGCCCCAGCCCCACGCACACGGGGCACGACCTCCTTGAGGGTGCCCAGCGCCCTGAGACAGCTTGCGAGGAGGCCCCGTGGGGCTTCCCATGGCCTCCCACATGCGCTGGCCAGTTTACCCAGTCTGGCCAGGCACTAGCACCAGCCCGGCACCCTGGCTGCCCTCGGGAAGCAGGCGAAGCAGCAGAGGGAGCAAGCCATGACCCCAGGCAGGACGCAGCTCCTTGCTAAGGGAGTTTCCTTCCCTGATGCCATCCGGGGAAGGCAGCGGGCGGCAGAGCCTCCCCGGGCAGGACGGTGGCCCCCCTCGCCTCTCCGTGCTCTGGCATGGCTCCCAGGAATCCCAGCACATTCCCCAGAGCTGAGCTCAGCCATGCAGCCCCGCCAGGGTGCAGGGGAGGGGGAGAACAATCCTCCGGCCCCCATCCAGGATCCAGACACGCCTTTGCCCCTTGCTGATGCCCCCCCAGTACCCCACACGGCCCCTCCGTTGGGTGCAGCATGGGGGTACCGCGGCTGAGTCGGGGTGTCATGTCGCATCGGTCCCCATCCCATCTGTTGCCAGCACACAGGGCTGGGGGATGGGACAAGGCTGGCGGCGGCCCCAGGCTGGGCACAAGGGATCTGAGCTCTTTTAACAGCGGAAATTAGAGTCTTATTTAAAGAGCATGCTAATCAGAGTGAGCAGACGGCTTGCTCCCTCCCCACAGCCGGCGCTCCCATCTAGACGTGGGGCGAACTCCCCCCCCCCCCCCTGCCCCCCATGCTGGGGACAGGCTCGCACATCACCCCACACAGGGCACGTCCCCTCGCCCCAGCCCAGTGCAGGCACGGCACAGTCACGCAGGGGCATTATCCTGCACCCCTTGCTCCAGAAAGCCCAAGGGGGAAAGACGGGAGGGCAGGTAAGGGAGATAGCAACGCCGCCAGTAATCCTACAGCCGCCTGCAACAGCTGCGTCTGAGTTCGCAGAAATCCCAGTAGCACAACAGGTCTTTTACTGGGCGGGACTGTAAAACCTGCTCGTGGCAAGGAAAAGGGCAGAGTCGGTCAAGACAGGCTTCCTCCAGGGAAGCAGAAGGAGCAGGGCAAGCAGCACTTGCTCCCGACGAACGCTTGAGCATCAGCAGCCCTCACCTCCCGCAGTCCCAGGAGGGCATACCAGGAGCCGGGGCATTGCCAGCCCTCACCAGCAAGGCTGGAGCACACCCTGTGACAGCCCAGGAGAGGTGCCACCCAGTCGCTGGCTAGTCAGCACAACCCATTTCCAGTGCCCGGCGTTCCGGAGTGGCGACAGCAGGGCCTTGCCGCGGCTGGCTGACCTCGGCAAATTCACTTCCTCCCTGCCTGCCTTGGTTTCCCCATCTGTGTCACACCGCTCCACCCTCCTTTGTAAAACAAGGCAAGGTCCACCGATGAAGGACAGCAGATAAGAGGGAGGGAGTTGTGTCATGAGTTGCACCGGCAAATTGGGAGTAAATACAGAATCTCAAAGGCTGGCTGGGAAGCGGGCAGAGATGGGTGGGTGGCAGCGGCGCAGAAACCCTCTCCCGAGCTCTGTCTTGTGCTGGGAGCTGCTAATTCCCCTCCCAGCACTGTGGAAATGGGGCGCTGGGCCGAGCACACCGAAGGGCTTGGGAAGCAGCATCTCCAAGAGGGCGTAAGGTGCAGAGCTGGATGAGTGAAGACCTCTTGGTGCAGCCCCCAGGGGAGCGAAGCCAGGATGCTGCCTGCAGCCCCCGCGTCTGATGCAGGCTGCACACAGGAAAGTAAGAGAGGGATTTGGGGAAAAGATGAAACAGTGGTTTAAGGGCTGGAGAAAATGTCTGGCACAAACACACCTGGCTCAGTCTGCTCAGTCTATTGGGGGTGGAGAGGTGGCTCGCTGCAATGTCTGTGTACCTGAGAAAGTGGGTGGGCCTGGCACCTCTGAAATCCCACAGGGAAAGGCAATGAGAACCAGATTCTCCAGAGGGAAACAGCCCAGCTCTGCAGGACAGTGGGGGATCAGCTCGGAACAATTCTCACAGAAAAGGGAAGCTTTTCATCAGTGGTCTCTCCTGTTCACTTTGGACAGCCTTTCCAAGAGAAGCACTTGGCTGGAGCAGGATGAAGCTCAACCCAAGGACTAGCTTGGGAAACCAGGGCTCAGACACACCGAGCCCTTTGACTTTAATGCTGGGGAGACAGTCAGATGCCTGTGTCAGTACCCCAGCATCCTGCCTGGCCCTGGCTCATGAGCACACCAGGGCTGAGCTAACCTGCATAGGGACAGAGATGTCCAGGTCCCCGCCCCATCCCCTACACCCACCACGGCTGGAATGAGGCAGGACTCAGCAGCCACACAGACCAGGGAGCTGTGATTGCCCACAGCATGGAAAGCAACAGCAGGAACAAGGGAGGTGGGAGGAAAGCGGGTCCTGTGCTGCCCTGCCAAGCTCCATCCTCCTCGCAAGCTCAGGCAGCCAAACCCCAGCTCAGATCCCGGTCCTGCCCCACCATCCTGCTGAGCTCTTGGACTCAACCCACCGCACAAGCACAAAGCCCCATCTGGCCCCCTCCTGCCCCTGAATCCTCTCCGGCATGCACACATGTCAGCTCCTGCTGCCTGATCCTGCTCCCACTCCCAACCTCCAGCAGTCCCCCAAATCCTACATGCAAGTGGCCCCACAAGAACATGAACAACGGGTGGGAGAAGGAGCATTTTGTGGCTCCCGCAGGGCCCAGGAAAACAGAAACAGCAAGGTAAGGAGAGACCATGGCCTGGCTGACACACGGGAGCATCCATTATTAAAGAGCTGTATCCATGCCTGACATTATTAAATGCCTCCCTCTGCTCCGAGGTGCTGCTGCACGCTCGAAGCCAGAGATCAATAGCAGGAAGCTGGCCAGAGGAGAGACTACAGCTCCACAGAGGCAGGAGGGTTCATGGAGAGGGATGTCTGCACGCCTGCCACAGCCCCTCGCAGGACACCTCTCTTGTGGCTGCAGAGGAGCTGGTTCTTGGGGTCTCCCTGCTGAGTGGGGAATGGTGGCAGAGCTGGAGGGGGACCCCAGGGTCCTGCTGGGATGGGGACGCCCAGTTGTGCTGCATGTGGGAGCGTGGTCCCGTGCAGGGGACGCATCGTGGCGTTGCCCAGGGCCCCAGCGACCGTGGTGGGAGGTGGTGGAGGGTCCTGCCCAGCCCAAAGCTGCTCTTTGAGGGGGATGAAGCCACTAAAAGCACAGTTTAAGGGCAATCTTTGCCCAATGGCTTGTGGCACCTTAAGTGATGCTGAGGACAAAAACAACAAGTGCACACACCTCCCCTTGGAGTGGAAGAGTCACCTGTGGCTGTGGGGCAGGGCACAGCCCCTCGGCCCTGGCAGCAATGCATGGGCTGGCAGGATACGGTCGCCACAAACCTCTGCCACACTGTTGGGACCCCGAACTCCCCACCAGCACCCATGCATCCCTAACCAGGGTGTAGGCCACACACTGGCATCCCCACTCTGGCAATCCCAGAGAGGACGGAGGACAAAGGCAGCTCTGGGGTCCCAGCCGTGGGCCAGACCCTGCACTGATCTACAGCATCACGGCCCTCTCACAGACCAGGTCACCTTCGGGAGGCTCCCTTGGGACACCCTGCACATCTACCTGCCCAGCAGCGGGAAACCACCTCGGACCGGCTGCAAACACTGCCTGCATCCCCCGTCACAGGCACACCCTGGGCCTGGCGGGGTCAGGGCTCCAGGCTGTTGTTGGACAGGGGTCCCCCGGGGCTGGGATGTTCGTCACCCCACGCGTGTCCTGACACCCACCCCCCCCCCCCCCCCCCCCCCCCACTCTGCGACCCACACGCCGCAGCGCTTCGGAGCGCTCAGCCTTCCCGGGCTGTAAAGAGAGCCCGACGCTCCCCTCCCCCTTGCACGGAGGGATGGAGGCACAACACCCCACGGAGGGGACGAGGCTCCCCGGCACCACCGGTCCCCACCGCACCGCGCATCGCCCCCCGGATCCCGCCCGGCTGCCTAGGCTGGGGGTCCAGACCACACACGCACACACCCCCACCCCCACACACCCCACCCGCGAGGGGTCTGTCCAGGGCCGCGTGGGAGCAGCGGTCCCCGGGGGAAAGGGGGGGGGGGATGCCCAAACGCGGCGGGATGCCCGGGGGGGACCCGCCATCCCCGCTCCCCGCCCCGCACACCTTGAACACCTCGGAGAAGAAGCCGGCCCCGATCTTCTCGCAGTAGAAGTCGTCGATCCGCGCCAGGGTGGAGACGGCGCTGCGCAGCGCCCGGTACGAGGAGGGCCGCGGCCGCCCGCAGCCCGGCCAGGGCCCCGCCGCCTCCCCTTCGCCCTCCCCGGGCCTCCGCGGCAGCTTCTCCCACTCCATGTCGCTCCCGCCGAGCACCCCCAGCGCCATTCACATCCCCCCCCCCCACGCCGGGCAGCCCCGCCGACGGGGCGCCGCCGCCTCCCCCCAAAACCCACCCCCCCCACCCCACCCCGGCCCCCCCCCGGGGCGATGCTAGCGGCGAGGCGGGGCGGGCGGCGCGGCGGGGCGGGCGGCGCTCATGGCCCGGTGCCGGTGCGGCGGAACCCCCCCCCCGCCCCGACCCCCGCCGCGGCCCAGCGCTGCGCCTCCGCCGCCCCGAGCGCTGGCACCGGCGGGGCGGAGCCGGGGCGGGGACAGCCCCTTAACTCCTTGGGACCCGCTGCCGAGCCCCGGCGGAGTCCCGTCCGTCTGTCCGTCCTTCCCCTCCTCCACGCCCCGCACCGGCGGGCAGCGGGGGGCCCGCACGCCCCTGATGCCCAGCACCGACCCCCTGCAGCCATCTGGCACCTCGGTGGGCTTTGGGGACCTGACTCCCGGGGCACGGCTTGGGCAGACCCCGTGGGCGCGGCGCGCTGGTTCTCCCCCTACCCCGATCCCTGCCTGGATGCCCCCGGTAGAGGTGGGACTCGTGCTCCCCTGGGTCCCACCTGGATGAACGTTGTGAACGTGGGAGTCTCTTTCTCCCCTAGTCCCTGCCTGGATGCTCCTTGTAGCTGCGGGACTCTCTTTTTCCCTCATAGCACCCAGTCCCTGAGCGTGAGGATCTGATCTCCCCGTATATCCAGCTCCACCCCATACAGTGTCGTGGGTCCAGTTCTCCCATACAAGCAGCAGGATGGGCCCCACTGGTACAGGCTCGGATCTCTCCTCACAGCCATCGCTGGGCTGGGTGGACGCTGTGGATGCGGGGCTCTGATTCTCCCCACGCACCCACCCCTGCCTGGACGGTGTCCCCGGGGGCTGTGGGGCCCATCCTCCGGAGGCGCAGAGAAGAGCAGCCTCCCAGTGACAGCATGCCCAGTGCCTGGTGCACTCCTCATTTCTCCCTTTTCTGAGGTCTTCCACTTCTCCCCGGTTCCTTCCTGCTTACTGCTCCCCACCTCCAGTCTTTTCCCTGCTCCAAGGCAGATCTGGACCCCCTGCAGTTGGATCTGCCCTTGCTCCGTCCCATACATTTCGCTGCTGCTCTCCTTGGCATCCACCTGCCTGTGCCGGCCCAGCCCTGCCCCGGCCACCTCCCTGGGTGCTGCCACCACCCTCCTGTTCTGCCCTGCTGCCGCAGCTACCCCACAACTGCCTTGCTCCTGCTGTTTCCCTGTGTGATACAGCTGGCTCCACATCCCCTGCACCCCTCTAGCTGCTTTTCCTGCTGGGATAAGCAGACACAGAGAGCGTCTCCCTATGCGGCACTTTTTTGGCTAGTGCTTGGTGCCAGGTGCCACCAAACACAGCATAAACACCATGGATCATGAGCCCTGGGTTTTCTTCCTTGCCCCTGGAGTAAGAATAACCCTGTGGGCTGGAGCAGGTGAACTGAGCTTCTGACTTCTTTACAGCAGGAGCAGACTCCTGCTCTCCCTCCCCCCAAATGCACGGTATTTCTGCTCTTCCAGGTCCACAGAAGGGAGTGGGTTTGTTCAGGGCAAGTTTCCTATGTGTAGGGAGGCAGAGCCTAGTCCCTATCCCACAGGGGCTGAGCCCTCCCTTTCCTCAGCAGTACTGCTCCAGCCTGGTGCCTCTGCCTGCCAGGGTGATTGATGGTGTGTGCCAGGGAGGCTGCTGCAGCCCTGGGGAACCACGCTGTGCTCAGGCTTCCCGGGCCTCACGCGTCTGTCCTGCTGACAACAGCCTGACTGAATGACAGGGGCCTTCTGTGATGGGCATGGAGAGGAGACATCAGCGTTTGCGTGTGGGGATGGGAGGCTGCAGGCTCTGCCCTTCCACCATGATGGCCAGCCGGAGCTGCTCGGATGGTGGTGGGTGCCCTTCCTGCCTGCCCGGGCTCAGCTCTGGTACCTGAAATCTGAGCACCCTTGCTGCACCCACAGCCCGGTGACCAGCTCCTCGGCGTAGGGAGCTGCTCAGAGGAGCAAAGCCAGCTCCCTGGGGGCCAGAAGCAGAGCAAACGTTGCCTCGCCATTTCCCTTGAGGGCACATGAGCAGCAGCCCCTGGAGGGTCAAGGCACCTCAGCAGGGATGGAGGGTCCTGGCGAGGCATCTTTCACAGAGATGCTCAGGACCGCCACTTGTTCAGGGCTCCTGCAGCTTACAAGTGACTGGGTTTACATCCAATTAAGTTGTAACGGATAAATTAAAGCCCTGGAGACGGCCCTGACTGTGGAAATTGCTGCTGCAGGATTTACGGTCCCTTCTCTCATCAGCGCTGGTAACTCTGCTGTGCTATTTCCACCACGCTCTATTCCTGCTTTGCACAGCAGTGTTGATCTGAGACATGGCTAAAGGTCCTCAGCTCCCCAAATCCCTCCCGTGGTGCTGGCATGTATACTCTGGGCAGGTGGGTGCAAAGCCAGGCTGGGCTGAGCCTGCAGCAAACCCTGAATTAAGCTCCTCAAGCCCTGGTGAGGAAGAGCAGGAAGGAAGCACTGGCTGTGCTCTGCTCCTGTGGAGCTGCAGCGGGGGGGGACGGCGGTGAGGAGGGAGGCTTTGTCCTCTTTGCCCTTCTCGGTCTGGGCTCTGCACTCTCCCCCTCCCATGGGGAGAAGTCTGGGGATGGAAATCACTCAGGCAGAACTGGGGCAAGAGCCTTCAAACAGACCAGGGAGGCTACTGCTGGAGAGGTGGAGGGGCTGTAAGGGTGTCCTGTAAGGATCAGGGCACACCGTGGCTGCGGGGTAGCCAGGCTGCGTGCAAGGCAGTCAGAGATGCAAGGGGCCTTCCACACAGAAAGACTGGTGCTTGCTGCACCCCCACCTCTATTCCACACCAGCGCTTGTGCCACCGGGTCCTTGCAGCACAGCTCTGGTTAGGATCAGCCAACAATGACCCAGCCTGACAGAAGGCTTGCCCTGCTCTGAGCCCTGGAGCCAGAACCGGAGCAGTCCCCTCCTCTGCACCCGTGTGCGAGAATGCATCCATACCTGAGGCTTCTTCTCTGCAAACGCTCGGGAGCATCGATGGCTGCTGCTGTGGGAGTGAGTGTGTGAAGCTGTGACAGAGCAGGCACAAGGCTTTGTTGCAGGAGGGTTTTCCAGCCTGGAGGGTCTCTGCAGACCCAGAAGTGAGCAGGACAAGGAGCACCTGCTGACTCAAATGACTCCCTTTGGTGCTTTCTCCCAGAACGTGGGTGCAGCCCATTGGTCCCAGGTGTCCTCTCTCCTTCTGTCCCCTGACAACCTCTGATCTTTTCCCACATTACCACTCATCACCCAGCAGATCTCCGCATCTGCTTGCATCCTGCATGTTCCCCATCTCCCTGCTTATGAAAGGGCCGGTCCCTGACAAACCTCTCCCTCTTCTGCCCCACAGGAAACAGGAGAGGGGGGCACAGCAGGGTCTTTTGCAGCCTCCTGGGAGACCTGGTCAGTGCAAGGAGCCCAGAGTACACGGGAGAAGGTCTGAGCCCCGCTGGTTTATGTGCAGCCTGGTTTTGCCCAACATCACGCAGTACAGGTGGTGCAGCAGGACTACATTTCCCAGCACACTGTGTGTTGCTGAGCTCAGCAGGCGCAGGGCCGTGCGTGCTCCGCACCCAGCACCATGGCTGCAAGCTGCAGCAGGCCACGTCCAGCTGCCAGCAGGGACTGGTAACGTCCCCACCGTCCAGGCGTGTTGCCACCCCCTTCCCCGTTCCCGGGGGCCAATGCCGAGCTGTCTGCAGCGGGAGGGCTGCAAATATTTGTTGTGTCATTAATTTTCTGCGAGCAGAGTCAGCACAGCACCTGCCAGCATTTGCTCTCTGCCTCCTGCTAGCTCCTGTCAACGTTTCTAACGCCTGGGTGCTGGTACCGTGACATCTGTGGAAACAGCATCCGCATCCCATCCCTCTTTCTTAGTGGTGGGCAGGGATTTCAGCTCCCTCCTCTGCTTTTCCAATGAGCCCCAGTGCCTCTGCCAGGGTGCACAACAGGGTGGCAGGGGGCTGAGCAGCCGATGCCTGAAGCCAGCTGAGTGTGTCTCTGCTGGAAGCCCTGTGGGCTGTGAATTTGAAAACGTTGACAACACTGATAAAACCAACCGACGCCTCTGAAAAGGAGGGACCGGCAGCTCGGGTTGTGCTTGCACCACTTGTGACCCACGGCGACGTGACATGCAGCCATGTGAGCACAACTACATCCTTGCAGTGAACAAGCACTGCAGAGAGCTACATGGTCACCAGGAATTGGTCACCTCACGCCAAACAGGTAAGGACAACACTACCACCTCCAGCATCTCCCACTCTGCTCCTGGACTAGCCTGAACAGCTTATCTCCCAATATCTGCCATGCTCCCATCCTCCAAGGCTGCCCAGCAGGTAACAGGGCTGCTCCTTGTCCTCTTGACCTGGCCCTGGGCAATGGGACTCTCAGCAGCTCCACACTCATCCCAGGAGGCTGTGCCAGCTTTGCTCCATCTCCTGCCTCATGCCAGGCTATTAGTAGTACTCCCTGGCCACACCACAGCATCCCTGAAGTGCTTGTGGTTCTGCCAGACATAAGCCAGGAGCAGAGATGCCAAGAACATGATCTGGCTGTAGTGGTGGGCTGAGAGGGGGACCACATCGGGGCAGGTCCAGGACCGGCCTCAGCTGAGCTGGTGGGAGCACACCACACACCAGCTGCAGGAGAACAGGGCAGGGAGCAGGCCTGAAAGTGCTCAGTGGGTCTTGGCTTACAGCTTTGGGGAAGAGCCTTCACCTGTGCTTCATTGCTGCCCTTTGGTCTTCATGGTTTGACATTGCTGCAGGAGGGAACTCAGAAGCAGCACAGCAACGTGGAGGGAAAGGCCGATGAGGGCACGCATAGCTCAGCACAGTGCCTTCCAGAGACCCCACAGAACAAGCCCACATGCACAGTCCACCCCAGAGACCCTACATTAATAAACCAACATCCTTAGGCTTGCCCTGGCTTTCTTACCCACCCAAGAGCTGACAAAAATGAAAACTTTCTGGAGGAAAGCAATGCATCGGGGTGGAGAACCATTCCCCTGTGAGGTCTGAGCTTCTGTTTGTGAAGGGCGCATCCCACTTTGGCTACAGCAGCATGGTTGAGAGAGATGGTCCCAGTCCCTTCTCCTCTCTTGCCCTCAAACAGAGACTGTGGAGCCCTGCTTGTTCACCCAGATGCCTGAACAAGAGGTAGGTGCTGCAAGGGGCTCCCCACCCTCGAGCCAGCGGTCACTCAGACTACACCTCTCTGAGTAACTCCTTGGCCAGAGCATGGTCCTGTAATCGTTCACACTGCTCAGTTTGTTCCCTGACACAGTTTTGGCCTGTGATAAATAGGACAGGTTCAGGGAAGGTCCTGGGCCAGGGCCATTCCCAGGAGGAAACGTGGACACGGCCACCTCCAGGCAGAGAGGAGAGTTGAGCCATGTGCCTTTCCTCCTGCAGCTGCTGTTTCCTACTGTTTCCCCTCTCCATGCTGGGGCACAGAGGAGCTGGGTGGCAGTGCTGGGTTCTAGATGCCCATGGGAGCCCTCTGCCTGGAGGTCACTGATGCCAGAGCCATGTGTGAGCAGTAATGCTCTGTCCAGGTGTTGGAGGGGCTGGAAAGCGGAGCATCAGCTCTCCATGCACCAGAAAGATCAGGAGCTCCCTGTGGCTGGGGGCACTTTCCAGCCCTTTCCCTTGTCCCTGTGCCCTGTCCAGACCCTGTCCAGACAGGGCAGGCTGGAACACGGCCCACGGTGGGGAGGGAAGGCAGCTGCACTGTGTTCAGCATGGAAATTGCCATCATACTGCTGCTAGCAGCCAATACAAGCTCTTTATGTCTTTTCCTGGCTGTTGAAAATCTCATTAGGCTTAGAGAGCTCTGTGAGCAGCGCTGCCATCCCTTGTCATCTCCTGCCCTGATCCATGAGTGAAGGACACCCAGGGAGGCATCAACACGCTCCATTGGTCCTGGATTGAAAAACCTTCTCTCACCCTGGGTCTAGAACAGACAAGGTGTGCCAGGGTCTGCGACAAAGACAAGGTCAAGGAAAGGAGGTGTGGCGTTATTTTACATGGGGACATCTCTACAACACAACAGAGTGAGGAAACAGGGCTGTCAACACACAACATCCTTGTACCCCATGGTGGGTCAAAAATCAGGAAGGAGAGTGGGTCCTCTCAGCAATGTTAGTGTCGGACACGTGAGGCTGTTTTTTCCAGGCCAGCAGCAGTAGAAGCAAATATTACTTGAGCCAGGACAAGCAGTGGTAGTGCTGCCTTGACCTGGGATCTCTGCCAGCTCCAGTGAAAGGTAGATCTGAGATGAACGAGGCAGGGCTTTGATCCTGCTGTGCCCTGCACGCTGGAGCCTGGTTCCCAAGCAGCACCTGCATGCCACCACAACACATTAATCTTTGATTACCATGGCCTAATTTCTGTCCACCTGTGTCATGGGTGGCTGGTCACCCCACCCTGTTGAGTCCTTGTTCTACAGTGGGTAATTGTACCGGCACCGGACAAACTGGTCTCCTGCAGTAGTTACAGCCAGCAGAGTCCCAGTGCTGCAGGCTGTGGGTGAGCCAAGTGTGTCACCACCAGTCCGGCACCTGGGATGTAAGTTACACCATGCTGCATGGTGAGTCCTTTCTTATGGGATGTTCAAGAGCACCTGTGTGGATGCCCTGTAGCCAGGGCTCTTACAAAGAAGTGAGAGTCCATCACAAAGACCATCCCAGCCATTGTCTTGCCAAGCTCCTTGGAGGGAGACTGATATCCTTCTCCCAATGCCAGCCAGAGACCTGACCTCCTCCACGGCAGGGATGAAACAGCATCCACCCTCCCTCCCCACTGCCTCTCGCCTGGGAACCTGCCTCCCCAACCTGCTTGTCTCCTGGCCCTGGGCAATGTGGGATTTCTGCTGGCCAAGGGGGAATAAGGCCAGGCTAAGTGGGGGTTCCCTGTGTGTGGTTGTTGCATGAGATAGGAACTTCCCTTTGCTCACAGATCAGCTGTGACACTGCTGTAGATCTGCTCAAGATCTTGCCGTTTGCTTGATCCTGGACTGGAAACGCACATGACTTTATGCACATATTTATACAATAAAGGGCAGCTGCTCCCTGGGTGCCGTGTCTTCCCCACCACTCACGCTGACTTACTAGGACAGTGCCGCCCTTCATCCTTCTCCTCCACCCACCCAGTCTTTGTGGGGAGCAGCATCACACCACGGCAAGGCTTGGCCACAGGCTGAGGGCTGGTGGAAGCCAGCACGCTCCCAGGGGGTTCTGCAGGGCCACAGGCTGAGGAAGGGGATGAGCAGGGGACCAGCCCAGACCTTGGCTTTCCAGTGTCCCATGTGTGAGGGAAGTGGCTTTGGGGACGCACAGTGCTCATAGCCAGGGCACAGACACACACCCTGGGGTGGGACAGCAGGGAGTTGTGTCAGCTCAGGGTCCCCCTGGCAGCAATTGTTCCTCCTTCAAGGCATCATTGGTGCAACACCAGGCAGGACGACGGGGCTGTGCAGCCCCCAGAAGAGCAGCTAACACCACCAGCGGCGCCACCCTCCCCACTCCAACAGGCCACTGGCTCCATTTCACTGGGGAAACAGCTGCTTGGCTTTTTCTTCCCTATTCATCTGGTTCCTCTGGGCTCAGGATATTTTGGGCACTTCTGTTTTCCCAGCTACCCTGGGTGGCATAGGCGTTTCCTCAGGATTTGCTTTCCTCTGGAAGCTGTACAAGCTGAGAACTGAAAAGGGGAAATGCCAAGCCCTTTATTTAAGATCTGTGTATGGAAGGAGAGACTCATGACTCGACTGAACACGTGCACTCCATCAGCTGCCTATGTAAGAGGCCTGTTATGTGTGGGGCCAGCACATGGGGTTGGGTGGAGCATTTGAACGGGAGCAAAGTAGAGGCTTGTGCAACAAAGGAGGTGCAGGGTGAAGGGTTTGTCTAGGAGATAGAGAGCTGCTCCACTCAGGCAGTGAGGGAGGCCACAGGCTCAATATGCCACCCCTGCCAGAGGGCAGGTGGGGGGATGCGGTTATGAAACACGGGGGCAGAAAGAACAGGTCAGATGTGCTGATCTTGGTGCAGAGAGCCTGCCCTGAGGGTGGCACCTTCAGGCTGCAGGGTTTGGGGGGAAGCTAGTCTGGCCTGAGATGCTGCTCCAAATCTTACAATCCCCATCTCCTGGGCTTAGCCAGGTTCCCTGTCCAAGAACCAGGGTGGGATGTGCGGGAGATGGCCCTGGGGATGGGAGCAGGAATGGCTGGACCAGATGTGGAACTGCTCGGAGGTCAGAGCTGGAAACCCCATCTCTGAGCACATCTTCCTCAAAACAAAACGCTGCATCCCACACCCCTCTAGCCTTACTCCACCCTGCTCCCAGCTGCAAACTGCTTATGTCCAATTTTGCGTGCTAAAAATACCTTTCTGGGCGGTCAGCAAGTGCGCAGCCAGATGGGAGAGGGTTGCAGTCTGAGAGCGAAGGGGTGTGGGGGATGTATTTGGGGTAGGTGTGGGCTGCAGCACAAGGCCAGATGGGCCTGGGAAAGCTGGGTGGGGGTCCGTGGGCTGGCTGTCACCGTGGAGGGATGTGCGTCAAGGCGGCAGTGCCAGGGCACAGTGTCTTGCTTGGCTTGGGTCCATGCTTCTGGGGAGAGGGGCATGGCAGGGGGGGGACATGCACAGATGGACTCAGAAAGGTGGGGAGATGCTCACTGTGGAGAGCAGGCAGCGGATCCTGCTCCCTGCCCTGGAAAGAGGTTGATGTAGCAGTCGGAGCAGAGCGGGAGGAAGGATGGTTATCCAGTCCCAGCTCTGCCCAGCACCCAGGAGTGCCCTCTTGGGACCCCTGCACCCTGCTGGGCTCTCCCCCGTCACATCTCTGCTCTCAGCCAGCCTGTCCGGGGGGAGGCCAGCCCACGGGCAGACCCGGAGGGTCCCTGGGCCACCTTGGAGCAGAGGTGGCCGCCTTGGGTGGCCAGTGCCGCAAGAGGGAGTCCTTACCCCGGCTGCTGACACCGGCTGGGTGACAGCAAAGATGCCCCAGTGCCACCCCTCTCCCAGGCCAGCGCAGCTCCCTGAAGACCGCCCAGATGTTTTGCTGGGCCCGAGGCAGACTGTGATAACCCATCATGACCAAGCTGTCACCCTGGAGGGAACCCTCTACACCCCGGCACTGTTGGGGTTCCCCTTACCCTCCTTCTGTCCATAGGTCTATGGGAGATGTGCTGTAGGAGACCAGGATGTCTGGGGTTTATCGTCA